ACTCTAAGAAACTTGGGTGACAGGCTTCTCTTGTATGACTACGCCGCCTAGTGGCAGACAGGCAGACACAAAAGACCACCTACCCCAAAGGCCCGCAGTAAAATCCACCCCTCTAAAAAATTGTTTTAAATGTCTGTTGACTACTTTACATGTACAAAACTTGGTGCCAGATTGTACAGAGAACACAAAAAAATGGTTTGATTTGATATTTGTGCTCAGGAAGTTGGAAGCCTTACAAGGTCACGTGGGTGAGTCCTCACGGACACTCAGAACCTAACACGCTGACAGCACAGGGCCAAAGAGCTGGAGGAGAGCAGAAACCCAAGAACACCCTGAGTACCAACTATACCGGGAGCGCACAGACACCCAGTGAGGCATGCTGAGCTCCCCTGCATGGACACAGCCCAAGTCTCAGAGGGTGCAGGATTCTGGCTGCAGCACACACACCCAGGAGGCAGCAAGGCCAGGCTTCAGACAGCAGCTCTAGGACCCACGCCTCCAAGCTCTCACCTCCTTCCTTCCTGACCCAGTGTGGAGCAAGAAGGCACCCTGGCAGATCTCAGCCAAAAGAACAGAGGAAGATGGCAAGTTGCCCATGAACCCTTGGGTCGGGCCACTCGGATGCTCTTCCTACACTCCTTTTCCAACCAGTTCCTCTGGGATCCTACCTCCTTGAGTCATTACCCCTATCCAGCAGGAAACAGCCAGACCAGACCAGCAGGATCCTATTACACTAAAGAGGTGAGAATGTTGGGGGGAGCAAGTGGAAAGCCCCTAGGTGGCGCCAAAAGTTCCCACCAAGAATACACACCCAGGACTCATTCAAATGAAGCCAACCAATCAGAAGACAAATTCAAGCCCCATCATCACACTACTTGAGGAATGCGTGGCTCAATGCAGGCACAACTTCAACCTCACCCCCTCACCCAGGAGTAGATCTCAATAAACTCTGGTTTTACTATTATTTTCATCTCAGTAGTCCCGCTGTTTGGTGCAGTTTTTTATCTAACAGTTTTTAATCTAACAAAGACTAGTTAATAAACTTGACATTTTGAGTGAGAGAAAAAAAAAAAAAAAAAGCCCAAAGATCCTGGGAGATCCTGGTGCTTGCAAGGTGAGGGTTTAACCCCTGAGCCATTAGGTGTTGTGTTGCTTCATGTCCTGTCTGCTCCACTTCCCATCCAGCTTCCTGCTATGGCCTGGGAAAGACGGCCCTAAGCCTTGGGATCCTGCATCCACGTGGGAGACCCGGAAGAAGCTCCTGGCTTTAGATTGGCTCAGCTCTGGCTGTTGCAGCCACTCAGGAGTGAACCAGCAGATGAAAGATCTTTCTCTCCCTCTCTTCTTCTCTTCATAACCCTAATATGCCTTTCCAATAAAAATAAATAAATCTTCTAAATAAATTTTTAAAAGACTAGAGGAAAGGCACAAAAAGGATGAAGCTCCCTGCTTGCAGTTCATTCCCTGCTGCCCACTCTGACAGCTCTCCAGGAGCAAGCTGGATGGATACCTGCAACCCCGCACCCGCACAGCACCTCCCACAAGGTGACACCGTCCTCACTCTACTCCGCTATCCTCCTCTGACACCAAGGAGGCGAAAAATCCAGCCAGGCGCCCAGGAACCTGTGATTAAACCCTGCCACACATTCTCCCACTAAAATGCTCAAAGTCAGGCCCAGCACAATGGCTTAGTAAATAAATCATTGCCTTGAAAGTGGCAGGATCTCATATAAGCATTGATTTGTGTCCCAGAGGCCCTGCTTCCCATCCAGCTCCCTGCTTGTGGCCTGGGAAAGCAGTGCAAGACAGCACAGAGCCTTGGGACCCTGCACCCACGTGGGAGACCTAGAAGAGGCTCCTGGGTTCGGATCAGCTCAGCTCGTCACTGCAGCCACCTGGGGAGCAAATCAGTAGATGAAAAATCTTCCTCTGTGTCTCTCCTTCTCTCTGTATATGTGACTTTCCAATAAAAATAAACATGTCTTTAAATAACTAACTAAATAAAAATAGGGCTCCACATGACAGCCTATCGGCTTAAATCATTACCTTGCAAGCACCAGGATCCCATATGGGCGCCGGTTTATATCTCAGCTGCTCCACTTCCCTTCAAGCTCCCTACTGTGGCTTGGGAAAGCAGTAGAGGATGCCCAAAGCCTTGGGACCCTGCATCCATGTAGGAGACCAGGAAGAAGCTCTGGATCCTGGCTTTAGTCAGCGCTGCTCTGGCTGTTGCAGCCACCTGGGGAATGAATCACCGGATGGAAGATCTTTGTCTGTCTCTGTAAATCTGACTTTCCAAATTAAATAAATAAATAAATAAAATATTCAAAGCCAATTTGCACAAAACCAATCTACTAAAGAATCCTGTCGTTGAAACTGTCACATGTCACAGCAAACAAGACTTTGGTCACTGTGTGCACCCTGGTTTATACAGCCCCTGAAATGTAAGACTCCCCAGTAAGGAGCTGCCTCCCTAGGGGTCCCGATCCCGCACACAGCCACAATGTGCTGCTCCAGGCTTCCTCTGGTGCCATCTGAGACTGCACCTTGAGAACAGTTCAGTCCTTGGAAGCTGCCAGACAACCATGCTACCCACAGCCAGCATCACCACCTCCTTGGCACAGGTGGGCACAGCAACAATGCCCATCACCGTGCTTATATGGTCACGCAAATCCGGACTTGTGTGTCTCATGGCCTTGTGTGTCTCCCTTGGCCTGAGCCGCCTCTGCTGCCATCCAAACTGGGCCAACGGTGCCCTCTTCTGGTGACAAGGTGCCACAACTGGCTGGCTGCTCTCCCTGGCACACTCCCAGGATCCAAGGAGGCCCGAGGCACTGCTTCTTCTAAGATGCTTTCTGCTTGAAAACTGCCACAAGGAGGCTTCTGCCTGGGGCCTGCGCTTCCCAGGCAAAAACAATACAAGTTGGCACACTTGTTCCATTTGCCCAGTGGAACAGAGGACACTTCACGGCACTGTCAATTCAAAACCAGTCCCCACAGGGCTGAAGGCCACAGGTGGGCAAGCAGGTGGGCACCCTTTAAGTCACACCTGCCATCTTCACATCCTTGCAAGGCAGTACCTTGAGTATGATGCACCGTGTCCATGGCAACCTGCCTTCTCCACCTGTGCTGCCAACAGCTGCCAGACTGCCCTCCCCTGCACCCAATGGCCTTGGAGATGTGACCATCCTGTTTCCATGTGGCCCACCTCGCAGCAACAGCTGTTCCCAACACTGCTGCCATGAGCCAGCATCCAGAGGACATATGTCAAGAAGCCATGGCCCTTATCTAAGGTGACAAAGCTATTGGAGCGAGAGCCAGACACCACGTCCTGGCAGGTAGGACTCCAGCCCATCTCTGCCCCATGGGACATACACTCAAGCGAGGGAGTCTCAGCCGCCACTTCCAGGGCTCACACAAACTGGGAAAGAGTACCACGCTCAAACTGGACCATCCACTGAGGGACCACGCATGAAGATGCCCACTCCTGAGTATGAGGACCCTGTCAGTCTCCATTCAGCGCACCTGCCCCTGCTCGAGAGTGTAGTTGGCTCCATAAACACTGCTCAGTGGATGCTCCACAGGGAAGTTGTTCAGAACAAACTTCTCTGAACTGCGTATCAGGAATTTAAAACACAGGAAAGCAAAGGGAAAAGCCAAAACATGGTGGGAAGCAGCTCCAAAAGCTGGAAGTGGAGCTCGAGCAGGCCGGTGGCTGTCCCTTGGAGTCCGGGCCGGCCAGATAACGTCCACCCGGCCCTCTGGAGGAAAGACAAGTGGGAGACCTGGAGCCACAGGGTCACCCAGCACCAACCGCTCCACTCCAGGATGCCAGATGCCTCCGGTGCATCCCAAGGACAGACCAGAAGAGGCACTGAGCCTGGCTGGTTAAGTTGCAGGAGGCCAGGCTGCAGACAGACCCAGCAAGGCTCCGCTTGCCTCAGAGGACACAGACAGGCCACCTGGGATCCTCGATGAGCCACTTAAAAATCAAGGTTCCAGACTGAGATTGCTATAACTGCTTCCCTTCTTAGGGAAATCCTCCTGGGGGCAAGAAACTCAACTCTACAAACAGGAGGACTCTTTGGGAGGTGGGGGAAGAACTGAGTATTTAGGGACACCCACAGGGCACCCAGCACAGAGCCTTCACCACAGTCACATGACGATCATGCTCTCACACAGCTCAGCTAGCCCACCAGCTACCCTGCTGCAAAGCTGAATCTGAAGCCAAGTCCCCTTCCCTTGAAGCCCCCCTTTCGCCCCATAGGAGGCAAGCCACCTAGAGACACGCACCCACATGCATCTTTGGGTCTCCCCATGCAGTCCACCTGTCCTGTTCAGACCTTTGCAAGCCCCAAAGTTTGGTTACCCCTAGCACTCCATTTTCTAAAAACAAATGTCTTGTTCCAGCTGGTGTTGGATTCAGCAGGACACTCCTACTTGTTTTTTTTTGTTCTGAAGCCAGATTACCGATGCACAAATGCCAATTATTCCTCCCTGGCGCATGATGTGATGCAGAAACAAGAATCACAACACACTATCAAAGGATTCAAAAAACAACAAAAATTGAATACTCCTGTAAGCACACCACTCAGCGTGGGCGTGGCCACACAGTGAATTCCAGTAACCCACCTTCTAGGAAGTCATCACATGAACTACAGGGGACAGGTGCAAGAAGACAGACACACACAAAGCACAGTAACTGCATGCTTAGCTATCAGGTGTTAGAAACCACTGCAATGTCTAACAGGCAAACACAGTCCAACCAGATGATAAAATATGATTTCATCAAGCGGTTGCACCATCATTTATGTAACACGTTCAGCAAGAAGAGATGGGCCACATGGACCAACAACGCATGACCAACAGGACAGCACCCCAGCTGACAGAAGCGACAGAATGACAGGCACGCATAGCCTGCAACCAGCCCAGCCATCCACACTCTGTTCCGATACAGGCAACATCACCTAGGGAACAGCGAGTCCCCACTCGAGGCTCACCTTAAAGGTCTTGTCCATGGATGTGGAGAGCAGCAGGTGACTTGCAGAGAGCACAGGGCACCACTGGATGCTGTTCACGGGGCCCCTGTGGCCTCTCAGGTGGAAGAGCACTTTGCTGGGGACCTGGGTCTCTCTATGCTGACCTTTCAAGTAGGGCTGGATGAACTCAGACACTCGGGGGGCCACGCAGCAAGGGGCTGGGGTGCAACCTGCAGGTGGACGCGGCGGCTCTGTGTCCTCACTCCTGCCTGCTTCCACGCTCTCCACTTGCAGCTGTCGCAGTCTCTTTGGGACATAAGGGATAACAATGTCCTCGCCTTTTTTCCTCTGAGAACAGCTGACTGTCTTCAGAAGGTCTGCGGCTTCAGACTCGCTCTGGGCACAGAGCGGTGACCTGGAGGTGTCCCAGGAGCGTTTCACTGGCTTCAGGCAGGCAGAGGCCAGGGGCAGGGTGCTGGCCGGGGCATGGCTTGTCCACAGAGAAGAAGAAGGGTGACTGGTGGGCAGAGTGACTTTCGGCTCGTTCCTAGGCCACTGGAGTCTCTGGTTAGGGCAAGATCCCTGACGGCCCCTCCCAAGCCGAGCCAGCGGGAGACGCTGCTCCCCAGCACCTCGACAGGAGGCAGGATCTGCGGGCAGCACCATCCCTGCTGCCATGGCCAGCGACCCAGATGCCCGAGCTGGCCCAGGGGCAGCAGCCGTAGTGGCTGCGCCTGTCACGCGGTCAGCACCGTGGACGCTGTCCACAGCCTCTGGCTCAGCATCCGAGTCTGAATCATCATAAGCCACCAACGAGGCCATCCTTCTTGTGCTTCTCCACAAACTACCTGAGAGCAAAGGAAGTCGAGTGTCAGAAAAGGTATGTATGGCTTGAGGAGCTCACATCACCAGCAAGTGTAAAACTGCAAACCCTATAAGGGTAAACACACTAACCAGGCATGATTCATCAGGTGTCAACTGGGGCCGGCATTGTGACTGTCCATGATGGGCACCGGTTCAAGTCCTGGCTGCTCCAGTTCTGATCCAGCTCCCTGCTAACACACTCAGGGAAAGCAGAGGATGGGACAAGTCCTTGGGTCCCAGCATCCAGGTGGGAGACCCGGAAGAAGCTTTCATTGACTGACTTCAGACTGGGCCAACTCTTGTAGTCATGTGGGGTATGAACCAGTACATGGAAGAGCTCTCTCTCTCTCTCTCTGCCCCTTCCTCTCTATATAACTTTGCCTTTCAGATACATAAATCTTCAAAACAAGAAAAGGGGGGGAGGGCGGCGGGGGAGGCTTGATGCAATAGCCTAGTGGCTAAATGCTCACCTTGCATACACCAGGAGCCCATATGGGTGCCGGTTCAAGTCCCAGCTGCCCTGCTTCCCTTCCAGCTCCCTGCTTGGGGACTGAGAAAGCAACAGAGGATGGCCCAAAGCCTCGAGACCCTACACCCATACAGGAGACCCAGAGGAAGCTCCTGATTCCCGGCTTCAGATCAACTCAGCTCCAGCCATAATAGCCACTTGGGGAGTGAACAAGTGGATGGAAGATCTTTCTCTCTCTTTTACAGAGAGAACTCTGTAAATCTTTCCAATAAAAACAAATAAATCTTTTAAAAAAATGATGTTGCTTAAAAACATGAAGACCTGGGGCTAGTATGATGTAAGGTGAATTAAGGTACCATGCGCGATGCTGACAGGCCACCTCCGAGGACAAGTTTCTGTTCTAGCTGTGTTGCTTTCAATCAAACAGATGCTGACACAAGAGGGCCCCGTCACCACACGGGAGACAAACTGCAGGCCCTTGGCTTTGGCCTGGCTAAGTTCTGGCTGTTTCAGACATTTGAGAAGTAAACCAATAGATGGAAGCATGCATGCACTCTCTCTCTCACACACACCCTGCTTTTCAAACAGATAGTCTTTGAAATTTATTTTAAAAACTAAGAAAACGAAAACTCTGGGATAGTTGAGAATAAACCTACAAAAACTGGAAGACCTACATGAACAAAACTAACATTTTTACTATAGGACATAAAACTGACTAAAAGAAAATGCAAAGCCTAGACACTTGGCTTTTTTTTTTTTTTTGTATTTATTTTTCTTATATAACAGTCAAAGAGTGATCTTGTTTCCACTGGTTCCCTTTCCAAATACCTGCAACAGCCAAGGCTGGACCAGGCCAGCCACAGGGAGCATGACCTCAGTCCAGGTCTCTCCCTGGGCCTTCTAAAACCATCCTGCGCTGGCCCCTGCCCCCTGGGTGTGCATTAGCAGGAAAACGGATCAGAAGTGGCAGAACTGGAATCTGATACAGTCTCCATACAGGCTGCAGGCGCCCCAGGCAGCACCTTTACCACGGTGCCTTGCAAGGTCAGGGTTGGCAGCTGGCATGACCACACCAAGCACACCTCCACTTCAGCCCGCAGCAGAAACGAGAGGACCAATTCCTGACCCAGGGAAGGCTGTCCGCAGCCCACCACCGGGACTGGCCAGCCCTCCTTCGCCCTCCCCCGGAGCTCTAGCCATTCTTTGCTCCCTGCCTACAAAGCTCCTTTCTCCACTCACAGCCCAAGCCACAGGCCAGGTGGAGGGCTTGACGGGCATCGGTCTACCCACGTGCAATGACAGCAAGCCTAAAGGTCTTATCCAAACCAGCCCCGTGAGACCCCAGAAGGTGAAGTCACATTTCAGCGAGTTCCACTTTTAAAATATCCCCCTCCATTGCTAAGTCACAATAATCAGGAACTCCCCACTATTTGCAGAGCTTGGTCATTTGGCCTGGAGCACAAGCTTTTAATTTTGTGCTGTTAGCAGGCTACACTGCCAGGAGGAAGCCAAGGCCCAGAGCCACAGAGCAGGTAGGGGAACAACCTCCAACACTCCAGCAAGGAACTCAGGAGCCCCACCCTAGAAAGCCACCCTGAGGGCCCCTCCCAAAGGTGGATCAGGTCAGCCACAGCACATTCTCTCCCTGGGCAGGCAGGCATTTGCCCCAGAGGTTGAGGCTGCATCTGACACCCACAGCCCATACAGAAGGCCCAGGGGTCAAGTCCCCCTTCAAATTTCAGCTTCCGCTGGCATGCACATGCACCCTGAAAGACAGCAGGTAATCTCCCAGCTACCTCGCTCCCTATACCCCAGGCCGAGAGCTGCACCGAGTAGCACACTACCAGCTTCAGCCTGGGCAAGCCCCAGCTGTTGCGGGCATTTGGGGGGTGAATTAGAATATGAAAAATTGGGCCGAGCATGGTAGCCCAGTGGCTAAAGTGCTCACCTTGCATGCCAAAGTGTAGAAGGACATTGTGACCCTAGAGGGTCAGCGAGCCCAGGATTCAGTTGATTGGATAATATTTGCATGAGAACAACCGAATGGCTGCCTTTTGTATACCTGATTGGATATCATTTGAATAAGAACAGTTGAGTGGACAGTATGTGTATGAGAACACTTGGTGGAATATACAAAAGGAGTTCCAAACAAAAGTATAGAAACCGTTGATGGGTTTTGTCGATAAGCTCAATACCTCCTCCCTTATCCCACATGACTCTCAGTGTATGAAGTCTGATACCACTAATAAACTTCAGCTTTGACCATCAATCAGAGTCCATGCGTGTTATTATCTGCGATACCAAAGATCCCACATGGGCACCAGTCCATATCCTGGCAGCCCTGCTTCCCATCTAGCTCCATGCTTGGGGCCTGGGAAAACAGTAGAGGATGGCCCAAAGAGTTAGGACCCTGCTGCACCCACGTGAGAGATCCGAAAGAAGCTCCTGGATCCTGGCTTCAGATCAGATCAGCTCATCTCTAGCCATTGTGGCTGCTTGGGGAATGAATCAGTAGATGGAAGATCTTCCTCTCTGTCTCTCCTCCTCTCTGTATATCTGACTTTCCCATAAGAATAAATAAACTCTTTTTTAAAGAGACTATGAAAAATCAATCATTTTTCTCCTCTCTTTTTTGTTCAACTAAAATGAAAAAAAAAAGACAAAATTTTTTTTAAACTTTCTAAGTAAAATGGTGACATATTGAAGACCAGCAGCCCAGGAACAGCCCTGCAGCACAGCAGCCTCAGCTGCAGCTTGCAACACTAGCCGCCCCCATCAGAGCGTGGCAGCTGCAGGCTACTCTGCTGCCCATCCAGCTCCCTGAGAACGCACACAGCAAAGGAGCAGCACAAGACATGAGTTCTTGGACCCCTGCTACCCACAAAGGAGACCCCAATGGAGCCGTGGACTCCTGGCTTCAACCTGGCCCACCTCTAGCTGTTGTGGCCCTGTGACAGTGTACCAGCAGAAGGAAAAGCTCTCTCTCCCACTCTCAGCGTTGCTGTTTCAAATAAGTAAATCTTGCAAGGGAGGTGAGGCCATCCGAAAGAAAAAAAGGGGGGCCTCCAACCCATCTGAGCCATTCCAAACCCCCAGAGAGGGTTTTCCCACCTCCTAGGAGCAACTAATCACCTTCCCATATCTAACCCAGGTAGGAACCCCAAGGCCATACAGAGCCAGCCATGCACAGTCTGTTCCACTGGCAGGGCTGACCAATCACAACCTGTTCCTGACAGCTGACCACACCCACATGCACAGTCACAGCCTAAGCACTCCTAAGAATGGGAACAGACTTCTCAAAGTTGTAATGGACTAATCATAAAGTAACCGAAATGGGACCCTGCTAACCACCTGACATTTCTCCGAAAACTTAGCCTGGTCCTAGGCCCCCATCTCCACTGCTGTGCCCAGACATCGTCCACCCTAGCACCCAATTCCTGCCCACACGGGCGCATCGCTGCCCACCGTGGGGTCCACTGCAGCCTTCACTGGGCAGCACTGCAAAGCAGCTCCATGGCTAAAGTTCAAACAGTGAAGAGGGCAGGCGCCTGGGCTACTCACCGCGCTAGGCACGCGGAGCACCAGGCCAGGGCTGCCCAGGGCTCACCAGGATAGGCGGATGTCAGCTCACAAGACGAAAACCCAGAGCAGAGGAGGTAGCCGCGGTTCATGGAGGGAGGTGCAGACAAGCCCAGGAGGAAGGTGACAGGTGGGGAACGGGGCACACCCAGGAGGGGCCGGGCAGCCCACGCTGCCGGGGCTGCTGCATTGGGATGCTAGCCCAAGCAACAGGCCCCACAGGGCAAGGCTACTCCACAGGTGCCCCGTGTTCAGAACAGCGCGGAGGGCAGGCTGGCGGGAGGGGGCGCCCACGAGGCACGGGGTGGACGGGCGGCCCCAGGACCCACGCGGTGACCAGCCCTACGCTGGGGATGGCCGGCATAGGCGCAGGGGACACGCGGGTAGCGGACCCTGCCCCAGGGACCACACACAGGGGACCGCGCGAGAAAGGGGTCCTGAGGGGCGATCAGGAGCCAGCCGAGCCGTCACTAAGAACCAGGAGAGGAGAGGACGGCAAGCCGGACGAGAGACCGGAGCTGAAAGGCGGGGACCGGGAGCACCCCGGGAGTGCACGCCACCTCTCCACCCTCCCGCCCCGGGCCCGCGGCTCACCTCACGCACCGGAAGCGCTCACTTCTTCCGGAGCCCGGCCCGCCCGCTCTAGTCCTCCCACTGGCGTTCCGCCGTGACGCTGGGGCCGCCAGCCAATCAGAGGCCGCCTCCATCCGACCCTCTACGCCCACAGCTAATAAGAGCGCAGCCGGGCCGGAAGTTTCCCAGTCGGACGGCGTTTCCACGGACGCGTAATAGGCCATCCTGCGGTGGAGCTGGTGGTGCTGACGGGCCCTTCGGAGTCTGGTAAGTGATGGGGTCATCGAGGGGAGAGTGAGGGGCAGGGGTTTCGCGCCGGGGCCGGTGAGCGCCGGCCTGCTGCCCCCCGAGGGGCGCCTGCCCAGTGCCCGGGGCTGTGCTCTCGGCCATGGTGCCCGGCGAGACGCGCAGTGACCCTTGGGGACAGACCACACACGTGTGTGTGTGTGTGTGGCCCCAGGACTCGCGGTCTTGCCCCTGCGCCGCCCCACCTCTCTGAACTGCGCCCTGGAGGAGAGGGTGAGGCCGGGGGTTACCCAGCCGGCTGTCTGATGCAATGACCGCCGCCTTGACTCTGCAAGGGGTGTCACCCGCCCACTGGGCAGCGCTGGTCCGAGGCCAGATAGTTTCTGGGAATCCGCATCGATTCTAAGAAACTGAGCTGTCCCAAGGGTGGGGTGAACAGGAAGGAAAGCATCCTTTTCTGAAAAAAAGAAACTGAAACGAATGGGGAGTTAAGGTATAAAGCCAGCTGGGACCCTGCGGGGCACCTTCAGCTGCCCCACGCCGCCAGCGGCCCCTCTGCAACAGCGACTGCCACGGCTGGTATGTACTGTCATGCTGGGCTGGCGCACTGCTAGGCTGGCGCACTGCTAGGCGTACCCTTTCATTGGCCTTCTCCTGGGGTGCCGGGGACCATCTCCCTGAGTTAAGATGCTGTGCCTTTAATTTCTTACCATGGACCCGGGTGATCCATGGGTGTTGGGTGAGCAGCTGAGGCTGGTACCACCTCATGCTAGCTTCATTTTTTTCACTGGTGCTGCGTCCTTCAGTAGTCAACAGCCAGACTTTACATGGATTTGTGTGTGGACACCAGCAACTTGCTGCCCTTTTACGGGGGCGCGCATTTGACCAGTTCAGGGGCGCAGTAGCCTTTCCTCTTAGTGTTGAACAGTGGGGAATAACCTGCTCCACAAGTTTGGGGAGCAAAGAACTCTTTGCTTATTTTTTTTCTTAAGATTTATTTTTAGGGCCCGGCACGGTGGCGCAGTGGTTAAGGTCCTCGCCTTGCACTCCCGGGATCCCATATGGGCACCAGTTCTGATCCCGGCAGCTCCACTTCCCTTCCAGCTCCCTGCTTGTGGCCTGGGAAAGCAGTCGAGGACGGCCCAAGGCTCTGGGACCCTGCACCCCTGTGGGAGACCCGGAAGAGGCTCCTGGTTTCGGATCGGCGGATCGGCATAGCATCGGCCGTTGCACTCATGTGGGAGTGAATCATCGGACGGAAGATCTTCCTCTCTGTCTCTCCTCTCTGGATATCCGCCTTTCTAATAAAAATAAAAATAAATCTTCAAAAAAAAAAAAAAGATTTATTTTTATTGGGAAGTCAGATATCCAGAGAGGAAGATCTTCTGTCCATTGATTTAATCCCCAAGAGGCCACAACAGCTGGACAGAGCTGTGCCAATGCAGACAGGAACCTGGAGGCTGTTCCAAGTCTCCCATGCAGGTGCAGGGTCCCAAGGCTTTGAACTGCCCTTGATTGATTTCTTAGGTCACTAGCAGGGAGCTGGATGGGAAGTGGGGCTGCTGGGTACGAACAAGCACCCATAAGGGATCCCGGCATGTGCAAGGCAAGGAGCCCAGCCACTAGGCTACTGTGCCAGGCCCCAGAACTCTTTACTCTCAAGAATTCATTCTCATATTCTCTGAGATGTTGCCACTCCAAAGCCACTGTCGCTACACTAGGGGCAAAGGTGGTGGCCCACCTGCTGGCGATGTTCCAGGCATGAAGAATTTTCCTGGACTACCTGCTCTCCTGGCTGCATCAGACAGGCTGTGCCTGCATGCTGGTTTGTTGGTCTCTTCAGTAGTTCTGTAATTCATTCCTTATCCCAGGTTTGTTTTGTTGTTTGTTTTTAGACTTTTTTTTTTTTTATTTGAAAAATTTACAGAAAGAGAAGAAACAGAGAGCTAGGGATGTTCCATTCTCTGGCTCACTGCCCGAATGGCTATAGCTGCTAGGGCTGGGCTGATCCAAATCCAGGAGCCAGGATCTTCTTCCGGGTCTCTGTGGGTACAGGAGCCTAGAGGCTTGGACCATCCTCCATTGCTTTCCCAGGCACCTTAGCAGGGAGCTGGATCGCATATAGGATGCCACCAGTTCTCCAGGAGGAGACTTAATCTAGAGTGCCACAGGGCAGCCCCTTATCTCAGTGCCAAGGTTGTCCCTACAGAGCAGTAGAACCTTAGCACGTGAGCACTATGTTAGATTTAGATTGGGGCGGAGCAGACACCTCATGTACGTGGTGAGCTGTCCCCAGGCCTGCCTGGGCTCCGGGCTGATCCCTTCGGGGTGAGTACAAGGGGGGAAAGTCTCCATGACTGGGCAGGCCCAGGGCTCACCCTCCACCCTCATTGAGTGGTGGATGGGATTGGGGAGGGGTGCAACCTTGGGCCTGGGGGTTTAAGCTTCCTGCAGCCTCCCGGCTGCGGGTGGGTCTCAGGACAGGTGTCTCATGCCCAAATCCCAGATGCCAGCCACCTTGTGCACGTAGTGAGCTGTACCGAAGTGGCCAGCATGCCATTTGGCCCAGGCTCCACCTGCTGGCCACCCGCCTGGGGAGCTCTGGGGTTTTGGTTCTTTGAATCACTGCTTAAGTAGCTCCAGGTTGAACCCACTGTGCCCCGGGGATGTGAATCAATCCTAAAGATTTCCAATGACAGTAATTCTTCCTTTGAAGAACTTGTAATCACTTAACAATGCTGAGCACTGAACACCAGTCCATGCTAAAGCTAAGGTTCGGGGCTTGTACAGCAGGATATTCTGTTACCTGACATGATGACGGATCAGCAGACGGGTCACATTAGACAGGGCCATGACATTAACCAGCATTCGAGAACCATATCTAGGGGTAGATTCTATGGAAGATGGGTGGGCCAAACCCTGTGGAAATTCTAGCCCCACTAGTTAGCTTAGGAGTTGGGGTAGTGATGGACTAAGCTAAGTTTGATCAAGGAGCTTGCCATCAATCACAGGTAATGGAACCCACAACAGTCTGGACTGGTCAAGGCAGCAGCACCCAAATGTGCATCCTGAATAGGGTGTGGAGTGGGCTGGGCTGCAATGTTCACCAGCTCATACAAGGCCAAATGGAAGGCCAGACTGCGCTGGGCACTGCACTAAAACCCAATGGCATGTATGAGAACTGGGTCTGGGAGTAGATCAAATAGAGGAACTTGGAAAATTCCCCTGGCGAGCCATAGCTCCCACTGGTGAAAATGTGGTCCAAACCTGGGGGTCGGACAAGCTGGGCAAAGTAGCTACAACAGCTGGCTAATGTGTGAATTGGTAATGGAACAGGATGTACTGGGCAAGACTGAGCAAACCTTGGCCTACAAGCGAAACTAGAAACCAGAATGGAGCACAGGTCATGCCGAGCTAGGCTCTTGCACCTACTGGTCTGTGTGAGTCAGGGACCCTAAGCCACAGTGTCTAAGGCATAGGCGGGTACAGGTGAGGGTCTGAGCCAAGCTGAGTCGGAGCAACAAATGGCTTGCACGTGATCTATAGCTGGGAACAGGCCCGGTTAGGGAGCTAAGGGGACACTCTAACTGGGTTGAGGTTCCCACCAAGGGCACATGGGCTGGAATGGGGCTGCATTCTGATCAGGAAACGGTTGTAGTCTCCCTTGGCACAAATGTGGACTGGGCCTGGATGCACCAAGCCGGGCCAGACTCCAACACCGTCTGGTGTCCTGGAGGACCAGGGTAGATGTGGGATGGACTAGGCTAGGTCTCAACCCCTACTGAGCCATGTGTGAGCTGTATGTGGGTATGGAGGAGCCATGGCTGGGCTGAAACATCCAACAGCAAGAACCAGCTTGGGTTGAAGGCCAGTCAGGAAAAGCCACTGATACTGCTAGGACAGGAGGTGAATTGAGTAGGGCTGGCTCATGGGCCCCCTGGTATGTGAAAAATCTGGCATTGGGAGGGGTTCTGATGGAGGAGCCTGGGTAACTCTGGCAGGACACAGACCCGGCAGGTAAGCGCAAGAAGCATGATAGGAAACAACCCAGAATAGACCATGGAAAGTTTCCCACTGGCATACTTCTGGCATGGATCGGGGGCAGACCAGGCTGAATCTGTCCACGTCATCCACTGGCAAATCCGAGCACCGGAACAGAGTGTGGGTTGGGCCAGGTTTGGTCGCAACAAAAACCAGTGCACAATATGGAATGCCAAGGTGAGGTTGCCTGTACCAGATGTGACTGCAGCGCCCATCCAGCACGTGTGAGAACCAGGAAGGGAGGGGGCAGAGCCAGCAGGGGAATAAGGGAGGGTTCCCTTGCTGGACAGCTACTCCCACTGGAGAGTGTGAGCTGGGATGGGGGCAGACCAGTCTAGGCAGGACTACAACACCTGTGCGCCTCATATGGACTAGATCAGGGAAAAGCCAGGCTGAGCTGATTATTCCTACTGGTGCAAACAAAATTAGAGTGGGTGAGGGTTGTTTGGGCTTAGCCACAGCATCAGCTGGCAGAAGCTGGCACTGGGGGCTAATTCTATCACGTCAAACCACAGAACCACCTGGAGAGTGCGTAATCTGGGAGTGAGAGAGACCTGGGAGGGAAATAGTGGGCTCCTCCCTCTGGGGTTACTACTACCACGGGAGGGCACGGAAGCTAGGACAGGGGCTGGGGTGGCTAGACAGAGAGGCACCCAACAACAACCATGAGGGGCTGGATAGTGAGCTGCTTAGATGGAACTAAGCTTCAGTACCCATCTACATGTAAGAGAGCCAAATGGGATGTGGGACAGACTGGACTAGTCTGCTACAAATACTGGCAAACCAGGGTAGGGGACGGGCCTGGTGGGGAACCCTATTGTGGGTCGCTCTGACTGGGCTGCAACTCCCACTGGTTTATGTGAGGGCCAAGTATGTCCTGGGCTGAAGCAGGATGGACTGCAACACCCATTGGTTCCAGTGGAAGTCGGGGCTGAAAACAGAACCAACCCAGCAAGTACAACCACCAGCTGATGGGGCGATGGACTGTGCTGGGCCCTGTACTTGCTAGTACATACAAGAATCTGGTCTGGGAACACCTCAGACAAAGTTTCTTTGGGGATCTCCCCAATTGAAATGCTGGATTCAGAACCCTAACCAAGAAAAGACGGAGGACGGAACAAGTCAATCAACCACCTCAGCTATGTGTTGGCAGCGAAATACTGGGCAAATGGGAAACTGGGTGGGGCTTCTCCCTCCATATCCCCCTTTACCTCAGATACATGAAGGAAACAATATGGAAATAATAGTCTCACCCACTTTCCTATAGCCCTTGAACCTTTTTACCCTGATTAACTACGTAAAGATTGTCAAAATTATAATTTAAAAAAAAATGATTGGGACAGGGGAAGATTCTAAGAAGACAAGGAAGCTTCCATATGAAAGCAGAAAAATGTATTATTGAGGAAGGACAGCATGGAAGCAGGGTGGTAAGATTGCAGCCCAGCCACACAGTAGGCAGGCAGCTGCGTTGTAGGTGTGGAAAAGGGTTCAGCCCTCCAGGCAATGGGCACCAGTCTGTTTATGCTGCTGGTTGGGAGAGGAGAGACCCACACCCATTGTATAAGGTAGCTTGGCGTGGCAGAAGCCCCCTTGGATGGTGTGTACTGAAGTGAGCACTTCACAGTGATGTTCCTACAGCTTGGCAAACTAACAGGATCTTAGGCCAAGAAACTCCATCCTGGCAGCCACAGGCTCCTTCTTAGTTGGGCTTAGTTTGTCCAGTTTTGTACCCTCGTGTTAGCCTCCTGCCAACTATTTGTGGCCCAACAATCCAGCAAGTCCTAACACAAAATTTGAATTCTTGAAAAAGAAAATTGAGAGTCAGTTTTTAAATATTGTTGATTCAGAAGGCAGGGAAACAGACTTCTATCCATTGGTTCACTTTCCAAATGCCCCCAATAAGCCAAGGCTGGGCCAGGCCAGAGCCTAGAGCATAGAACAGTATCCAGGTCTCCCACAGGAGTGACGTGAGCCATCCCTCAGGTGTCCCGAGGAGCGTCTTTGCTGCTCCAGACACCCAGCCTGGAGTCCACTCTAAAGGGCCTTTCTCACTGTCTCCCTGGAGAAGTGCTGAGGGGCCCGCTGTGCTCTCCCTACTCTGGATACTTTTGTTGCAAGTTCTTTCATGGTTACCACTTCATCCCTTTGTTTCAGACTTTCCTATCTCTTGCACAGATGAGATAAGCTGTGGAGTTTCTGTGTTAGCCTTAACCCTGTGATGAGGCAATGGAGCTGGGATGCTCTAAACCTGCCCACGTGGCACCTGTGCAGGCCTGCGTGTCTGGGGCCTCAGCGGCTAGCAGTTCCAGGCTTCATCCCAGAAATTAACAAAGAAATAAAAGAAAACGTGGACTAGGTTGGGGAGAAAGGAGACTTTACACAGTTAGCGGCTTCCACGTGTGGAGGAGTGGAAGGAGAGAGGGAGGGTTCTGGCCACCTTGTCATGAGGAAGTTGCATCCTGCACTTGACTCGTGGGGTGGGTGTCTTGACAGTGGTGCACACCCTGGGACGGACCGTGAGGTCAGGCGGGCTGCATCTGCTGTGCCCTCCACCTGCTTTCCTTCCCACGTGCCTCTTCATCAACGAGATTCTGATGTTTAAAGAGACAGTTTTCTGTACAACTCGCAGCCCAGTCCCTCTTGCTGAAATTCCCCCAAAGAATCTGTTCTCTGCTGCATTGCAGTGGAAGCCTGGCTGTCTATGCTGTCTGTGCTTTCCCAGTCATCCTGCCTGGGCCTCACCTAGGAATGTTTCAAGGCACTTTTGTTCCATATTCAACTTGTGGTTCCACTGGAAGAGACTGCAGAACCTTCCAACTACTGCCTGTGGCCAAACCTATGGGGCACCATGTTTTTGGAAGGAAAAGAGAACAAAAGGAAATTCCAGAAAGAATGACTGGAGTGCTGGGCCCATGTTAGTATTTAGTGAGGAACCCAGTTTGGGGACATGAGACCAAGAGACTTGCCTGGCTCTCCCTAACTCCAAGAGTTAGCTCAGTATCCACATGCCAAGCAGAGGCCTTCCGAGGCGTAGAGCAGAAAGCGGCCTGCAGCTGCAGTGAGAAAGAACGAGAAGGACCCAGTCCTGGGGCAGGAAGGTGACCTCCATGACTCCGAGAGTCACTCATCTGGTCCATGCTGACTGAGCAGGGGACACAGAAGGAGAAACCCGGTTGTTGCTTCTGCTGTCTGCTGCGACTGGTTGTGGGGAGTGTAAATACCTTACCAAAGTTAAGAAGGAAACGCCCAGTGTGCACAGAGGCTTGCGTGGGGAATTTGTCCCCAAGACTTTTAAGATAAAGAGCTAATGGGGGCAAGTGTAAGGCACTCCCAGCAAAGGTGCAGCTGGAAAGCACATGCGAGATCAAAGAGGCTTGGCATTGCACCTGAACTGCTGCCAGGCTCTGGACACCAGCTTCCCTAAGCCCACACCTCTTCAGATGCAGAAAATGTACAAAGACCACATTGGGGCCAAGGAGTCATTTTCATTACTTTGTTGTTTGATCTGGGCAAAGTGAAAAATGTGCAGTGACTAATGTGCAAGCCTGTTGCAGTCTGGGGTGGGAGAGTGGGGGGAAGGGCAGGTGGAGCCTGGGTCATTCTGTCCAGCTGCACGCAAGGCTGCTTCCACCTTCGCTCTGTGTTCTGGGCACCTTGTTGTCTGCATCCTTTATCAGCAGGTTCCCCTCTGGGAATTGTGATTCTCATGTCAGCCACTGGCCGTCCTGGACCTGGCTGCCACTGTCTCACTGACTTTTACAAAGAACGGGTTGTTGTCGTTGCTGTTGTTCTTGTTGTTGTTTTTAAAGATTTATTTATTTTTATTGCAAAGGCAGATATACAGAGAGGAGGAGAGACAGAGAGGAAGATCTTCCATCCGATGATTCACTCCCCAAGTGAGCGCAACGGCCGGATCCAGGAACTTCTTCCGGGTCTCCCACATGGGTGCAGGGTCCCAAAGCTTTGGGCCGTTCTCGACTGCTTTCCCAGGCCACAAGCAGGGAGCTGGATGGGAAGTGGAGCTGCCGGGATTAGAACCGGTGCCCATATGGGATCCTGGGGCACATTGAAGGTGAGGACTTTTAGCCACTAGGCCACGCCGCCGGGCCCAAAGAACAGTTTGTTAAAAGTGACACACTTTGGGAACAAATTTCACAGATGGACAAATAAAACAGTACATCTCACATTTGAATTCTTGCCTCCTAGAGTTAAGTTATTTCTGGGATAATGGTTAAGAGTGTAGACTCTAGGGTCAGGCTGCTTCCATGTAAATCCCACCTATGCTGGTTCCTTGCTATTATTTGGGTAAGTTATGCCCCACCTAAGGAATGGCTTGCTGCCAGGCTCCTGGGAGCTGATGCTTCCTGCTGCTTGGATTGCCCTCGGTATCCTTTTCCTCAAGGGGGTCACCAAAGGTCCACAGAGGCTGCTGTGGTGGGCTCTTATGTTCTGTAGATGGGGAACTGCCCCCAGAGGGCTGATGGTGACCCTGACTCCACCAGGCCTGACCTTCTGCCAAGTTAGTATGACAAGGGCAGGCTGTATCTCCGTCCAGCTCTCACTTTGAGAGCAGAGCAGCTGGTCGGCAGTGGAAGCCATTAGCTTAGTGTTGATCATGCCTGTGAAAACTGGGGAATTTGTCCCCAGGGCTTTTAAGATAAAGCTAATGGGGGGAAGGTGCAGGGGTGTGGACACCACACTGGACTGTGTGGGATGGCCTGACAGGTGGAGCCAAAGATCTGAGTGGCTAGGGTGAAGTTTCAGTCCAGTTTCCTGCTAGTGTACCTGGACTCAAGAACTTGGATCCCAGAGAAAATTCTGGGTCCTGGCTGCAGTCTGTCCCAGCCCTAGTCTTCTACTCTCGTTCTGTCTTTCATGTGAAAAATGAATGTTTGTTCTGAGATTTATGTTTTATTTTATTTGAAAAGCAGATTTTACAGACCTTCCATCTGCTGGTTCACTCCCTAGATGGCTATAGTGACCAGAGATGAGCTGTCCTAAGGCCAGGAAGTTCTTCCAGATCTCCTAGGGACTTGAGCCATCCTCTTCTGGTTTCTCAGGCTGTGAGCAGGGAACTGGATCAGAAGTGGAGTAGCTGGGACTTGAACTGTCACCCCTATGGGAAGCTGGTGCCATAGGCGGAGGCTTAGAATACTATCCCATGTCACTAGCCCCACAAACTTTTTTGAAAACAATAATTGGGCCAATGTTTCTGTCCCTGCTTGGGCTGCCGTATCGGGGTGCCTGGCTCCGGTCCCGGCTGCTCTGCTTCTCATCCAGATTCCTGCTGATGCACAGTCTGAGAGGCAACAGGTGATGCCCTGAGTCCTCCAGACTCTGCTGCCCATGTGGGAGACCCAGCTGATGCTCTGGACTCCTGGCTCAGCCTGGCCAGCCCTGGCTGTGCAGGCATGTGGGGGAGTAAGCCACAAGTGAAAGAGCTCTTTCTTTCAAATTAAAATTAAGTATATCTTACTTGAAAAAGAGCAAACAGTACTATTTTCAAATGTGCTCAGCAGTAGTAGACTTGGGTTTTTTAAGTGACTATTGATATTTATTCCCTGAGCAAGCTGAAGCGTGTTGTATGTTCTTGGCATGGAGCTGGGCTCGGGGACACAAACTTGGTCTTAGCAAAGAGGAACCCTGCTTCAGGAGTCTCAAGTCAGGCAAGCATAGCGGGTCCCCAAGTTCTCACCAGTGTTCTTCCTCTGCTTTCCAAGAACCCAGATGTCTGCTTATGTCTCTGTCTGATCTACCTCAGTACCTTTACAGAAAAGAACACCTGCTGTGATGATTGCTTCATCTCTCCCTTTCCCCACAGACTTGCCTTGACCCTGAACAAAGCTACCGGGTCAGCGTAGGCTCTGTGCTGGAAGATGGCGGACATGCGCAACGGTGAGGCAGGTGCCTCTGCCCTGGAGCTGTTCAACAGCATCACGACGCAAGGGGAACTCGTGAGGTCTCTCAAAGCCCAGAAAGCATCTAAGGTAGGCCATGGCGTGGGGTGCTCTACGCCACCTCTGTCCCTGGCGCCACTTTACTCCAAAGTGGACCTTTCCTTTTGGCAGCATTAGAAGGCCAGCAGCCTTTGAAAGCCAGTGGTTCTCCATGCCTTGTGACGTCCTCTGCTCTCTAGAACACGTGCAGGCACCACATTCTGTGGTGTGAACCAGTGCTGTGTTGGGCCTGTGCGCGCCCGCCTCCCTCCTTTATCCCCCACATCCGGCAGGGTAAATCACTGTTCTCTGTTGCCTCCTGGCCTGTCAGACAGAAAAGTCTGCACAAGTGCAGGTGCTCTTTACGTTTTGTTTTGTTTTGTTTTCCCAAATGTTTTCCATCCAAGGTTGGAGGAATCTGAAGAGGCGGACCTGGCAGAGGGTGTATAGCCGAGCCACCTTTCCCATTCCCTGCCTTGACACCCACTCGCAGTTCTTTTGCTTGCTTCTTTGGAAATTAACCTCTGTGTCTCTGAATAGCATGGGTATTATGCAGGGGATTTCAAAAAGTCTGTGAAAAAAATGTAATTAACTGATAAGGTTATTTTGATGCAAAACATTTTTATAAGCATAACTTTTTTCATAATGCACATTCTTCTGTGGCCCTCTGGAGACCACTCACACCACTACTACCTCTTGTCATGTCTGGGGCTTTCACTGTTGACCTGGGGGTTTTAAACACCTCCGCATGCCTCCAGTCTCCCGGCACATGCGGCAGTAACAGGTCACTGTTACTGTTGACATTGTTATGACTGTATAAACACTGTGCACAGCTGAACCATCAAGTAGATGCGAGTTCTTTTCCTTTCCTGATCAACTTCTGTTTTCTCTGGAGTTAATATTTGTCTCAATTTCTGTTTGCTTGACTGTTTTATGTACTGATAGCTACTAGGTTTGTGTCACCACAGGCAGCAACAAAATGCCCTAGCAACACATTCTCAGAATGTATCCTGTTGTTGGAGGATGCGTGACTGTCCTCAAACTCCCTCCAGTCGACTGAACCTGCTCTGCATGCACACACGCTGGCCCAGCTGTCATGTCCGTCTCCTTGGGAGATCTTGGGAGCCATTGCCTGCTGGCTGGTGCCTCTCGCCTGTACGCTGCGTGCAGCGGAGCCCTTCGCTTCCTTCGGGGCTTTCCTCCTGCTGTGTCTGCTGGGTCATTTTTCCTTGATTTACTTTTGTTTTGGCAGAACAGCTCTTGCATGGCTTCTGAGGATTGTAGTGAAAGTGGAAGAACTCTGCAGATCTTACTTGTCTTAAAGCATGTGCCCTTTACCTCACACTCGGCCAGTGTGGGTTGCAGGTCTCGAGTGGGACTCTGAAGCCCCTGCTGCATGGCCTACAGAGTCACTGTGGAGGCATCAGGCATGATTCATGCTTTCTCTCAGGAAATCGGAAGGATCTTGCCAGCGTCCTGGCAGGGCACAGGCTCCCTGCTGCCCTCGGAGTGGCTCCCCAGAAGGCATGGTGCTGCATTGACGCGTTTCTACAGGCATTTCTGAATCAGAGTGTTCCCCAGAGCTTCCTATTGCTTCAGTTTCCACTTTGCTTTATTCTCTTAGAGATCATTCCTGCCTTTCTGGGCTTGCTGCTTTCCTCTGGTTTTATGATTTCTAACTCCCTGGAGCTTGTTTATGGCACACTGTATTCATTAGGGGCAACACCAGCCTGCTCTCTCCAGGTCTGTGCCAGCCTTCTCTCTAGGTTGGTGCCAGTCTGCTCTCCAGAACAGTGCCAGCCTGCTGTCTCCAGGTTGGTACCAGCCTGCCCTCTCCAGGTCGGTGCCAGCCTGCCCTCTCCAGGACGGTACCAGCCTACTATCTCCAGGACGGTACCAGCCTGCGGTCTCCTGGTTGGTGCCAGTCTGCTCTCTCCAGGTTGGTACCAGCCTGCCCTCTCTAGGATGGTACCAGCCTTCTCTCTCCAGGTCGGTGCCGGCCTGCCCTCTCCAGGACGGTACCAGCCTCCTGTCTCCAGCATGCCTAGGTGTCCCGCCTTACACTCTCAGGCCATGCCCAGCTAATGTCTCCTCACCTGCCGTTCGCATCAGGGTGACCATTAGCCACTCAGCTGTCCGCTGGCTCTCCACCAGTGCTTTCAGGGACCAGCACTCCCACCGTGGGTGCTCTGGGTTTGTAGGAAGGCCTGGGCTCACCTCTAGGTTCTGCTTTCTGGCTGCACTAGGCTTTATCAGGCTGTGCCTTCAGGAAGGTCCTGGGGCTTGCCCTGGGCACTCTTGTCGTAGCAAGGCCATTCTCTCTGCGAGTTTGTCTGCAGCGGTGACACAGCTTGCCCTCATCACCTGTTCTCTTCACCTGATCAGCCCCCATGGCCTGCTTCTTCTGGAGCCTGAGGGTGGGCTACCATGTGTTCACAGTATGTTTTCAATACACCGTGTGTTCACTATGTGCCAGTCTTACGTACATCCAGGACACTTCCTTGGCAGTGGAAGGTACTTCTTGAAGAGACTTTCTACCAGTGCTCCTGTTTCCATGCCATGTGTCTACACCACACTCTCTGCCCTAAGCCCCCAAGGGCACAGGCGGCCAGCTGCACAGTGGAAGAGCATGGTCCCTGCTGTATGCATCCGTGACATTGAAGCATTTGTTTTTCTCACATGTTCATTCCCTGCCACCCATCAGTTTTCAGCTTCCATAATTTTGTGGCTCTTGTCCTCTTCCTGTTACCTTTGTCCTCGTGAGTCTGTATCCCCCTTTTGCATTTATTTATTTGAAAGGCCCAGGGCCAGGGAGAAGGAGATCTTCGAATCATCTTGTTTCACTGCCCAAATGTCCACAACAGCCAGGATGGAGCCAGGCCAAGGAGAGCCCTGCAGCTCTACCCGGGTCTCCACGGGTATGGGGTAGTAGAGGCTCCAGTTCTTGGGCCGTCCTTAGCTACTTCCCCCACTGTGCATTGACAGGAAACTGAGTCAGGAATGGAGGCAGGAGTGGATCCCATGCTCTCCAGTGTGGGATACAGGCACCCAAGTGGCAACTTAACCCATGGCACAGTGCTCTGCTTCCAGTCCAACTCCTGCAAGTGATGACCCAAGCACTTGGTCCCTGACAGCCAGGTTGTTGCAGGCATTTGGGGAATGGACAGCAGATGGAGGACATGTACCTGTCTATCTGATTACCTTCCAAATAAAATGGGAAGAGGAAGGGGGAAACTCATCAATTTGACACAATGAAGTGGACTCGCCAGTGAGAGATCGGTGATACTAGGCTAAATTAGTTTAAACCAAAAGTCTAAAATAAGTAAAGGACTCATGTTGACCATTCCCTCTGTGAACCCAGATTAGGGGTTTGATAATGGTATTTTGTTTTAACCACTAAATGTTACATTTGAAAAGCATTTAATAAAATGTTTTTAGTTAGTATTTTTTCTTAACTATAGTCATATTCATTATTTTAGTTAACAGAACATAACTCAGTTTAAATTCCAAGCATATTCACTGGCTAATACCAGCACAGGAACATGCAGGGGAATTCAGAGGTTATACAATGAGACTAGAATTAAATAATGAAATATTCAGAAGTAAATTTATATTTAGCCCTTAAAGTTGTCTATAGTACAAACACTTGATGTTTTAGAAGTTCTCTTTTTTATATAAAATATGATATATTTTTTAAAAAGCAGCATGACACAAAGAGAAACAGATCTCCCATTCATTATTTGACTCCCCAGATGCCAGGAGCAGCCAGAACTGGGCCGACCTGAAGCTGGGATCCAGGAGCTCCACCTGCTCTCCCACCTGAGCAGCAGGACCTGAAGCAATTGAGCCTATCATGGGTTGCTTCCAGTAGGAAGCTGGATGGGAGGCAAAGGTGGCAGCCGCAGCCAGGCACTTCAGCTAGAGGTATTCCAAGCAGTAGCTTACCCTGTTGGCCATGGCGCCTGTCTCTTCTCCTTTACTCAGAGTAAACCTTTTAGATTGGAACATGCCATTTGACTCAGAATGTGGTGGTCATAAGCAGGCAGCTAGTTGAATTTTCACAAAACAACCACACCTGTGTGAGCATCACCCAAGTCAGGACCCAGCCTGGTGGCACCTGGAGTCCCTCTCCTACACCTGCAGGTGCTTCCTGACTCCTGCCATGCTGGAAAGTTATGTCTGCATGAGCTCTGTGGGTTCAGGTAGGTGACATTTTTGGTCTCTTCAGAACTTCAGCTTCCAGATGCTGTTCCGGTGTCCTGCTCCGTGTTAGGTTGAGAGTGACAGCAGGCAAGGCCGGCCTGTGTGTCCTTGAGCAAGGGCATGGAGTCACAGTTAGACCAGCTTGAGTAGGAACTGTCTGCCAGCACACCTAGTGAGGGAGAGATGCTGACTTAATGCATGTCATACAAGAGGAAGCCTACAGGCCCAGCACGGTGACCTAACAGCTGAAGTCCTCACCTTGAACGTGTCAGGATCCCATATGGGTGTGAGTTCAAATCCCGGCAGCCTCACTTCCCATCCATCTCCCTGCTTGTTGCCTGGGAAGGCAGTCAAGGATGACCCAGGGCCTTGGGACCCTGCACCTGCGTGGGAGACCTGGAGAAGGTTCCTGGCTCCTGGCTTGGGATCAGCACAGCTCTGGCCATTGCAGTCAATTGGGGAGCGAATCATCGGACAGAGAATCTTTCTGTCTCTTCTCTTTGTATATCTGACTTTGCAGTAAAAATAGATAAATCTTTAAAAAATAAAATAAAACAAACCTTTAAAAAAAGGAAGAGTCTTTCCATAATCATTCAGGACCTGTTCGCTGTTGCGACAGCCAGGCACTGTAAAGGTGAGCTGTGTCACACTTGCCGTCTAATAACCTAGCAAGCACCTTAGCTGTCGTGCTGCTTGTGTCTTTGGGGTTGATTCCACAAATCTGACTCATTTGCTTGATGAATTGCAGATAATTCTGTAATCTGTAGCACAGATCACTCAGAATAACAGTTCCCTATGACCTAGGGCTGAAACTGGAGAAGTGTGTCTCTAATGCAGGTGGTGTCGGGGGTCCTCCAGTGGGCCACCCATTTGGTGATATATTCTGTGTAAACTCGACATAGGTGGAAACGTTGTGTATTCCCCCAGCAAGCCAATTGGACTATCTAGTCTTTGTGATCTAATCCAGCAAGGGCAATTACTAGAGCAGAGCTTTCGGGCATGGCATGACTAATGGTTTAGTTAAACCTGCTCTGTGAATGCCAGGCTCTTGCAGGTGGCCAGGGCAGGCTCCTGGGAGAGGTCTTTAATAGATTTTCAGAGCACCCAAGGGTGCATTCTACATTTGTTCCTATTTGCACTTGTTTGTGCTTATGTTCATTTTGAAACAACATGAAATACTTATGATAACTGGATAAAATTCCAAACTTTCCTGGTTGAATCTGTGCTCAAAACCTAAGGTATTTTCCCCTTGCCTTTATCTGTTTCAATGTTACTCTTACCATCTTGGGCATCATTTGTTGAGTTTCCTAAATATCCATTACCTTGCGTGTTGTCTGGTGTCACGTCCTGCATATGAGCTGTGTGGTAAGCAGCATGTCACCATGTTGTCCGTGTGTTTATAGTAGAAATCCATCACACTGACAGAGCAGGTGTTTGAGCCACGGCTTGCTGTGTTACCTCCCCTCCAGACCCCGTTACCTCCCCCCCCAAGACCCTGTTACCTTCCCACCTAGACCCCGTTACCTCCCCCCAGACCCCGTTACCTCCCCCCCAGACCCTATTACCTCCCTCCAGACCCCGTTACCTCCCCCCCAGACCCCGTTACCTCCCCCCAGACCCCGTTACCTCCCCCCCAGACCCCGTTACCTCCCCTCCAGACCCCATTACCTCCCCCCAGACCCCGTTACCTTCCCACCTAGACCTCGTTACCTCCCCCCAGACCCCGTTACTTTCCCCCCAGACCCCGTTACCTCTCTTGAGTGGAAAGCAGACAGGGCAGCAAGGCCCGCCTCATGGTTTGTCAGGAGGCAGTGAGGTTGTGTGTGTAGAAGCAGGAAGATCCCCGTCACCTGCCAGGCACTCGGTAGCTGCTAGCTCTCAGGGCTCTCTTTGCTTTTTCTTTATTTCTGCAGGAGGAAATTGATTCTGCAGTCAAGATGCTCCTCTCATTAAAAATGAGCTACAAGGCAGCCCTAGGAGAGGATTACAAGGCAGACTGTCCCCCGGGGAGCACGGCCCCCGACGGGAGCAGTGAGACCAATGGCACGGACAGCAACGAGGACTTCGTGGACCCGTGGACAGTGCGGACGAGCAGTGCGAAGGGCGTCGACTACGACAAGCTCATCGGTGCGTGCTCTACCAGGAGAGGCTGCAGTGCGCTGACTCCATGCATGCTTTCAGTTTCTGAATTAGTTATTATTAATTAATGATAAATCTAGTGATACTTCAATACAGGGAAAAAAAAGATCCTAAAACCTTTGGTTGTATATCACATTACCAAAGGAATATTCTTCAGTATAACAATATAAAACTTATTTCCAAATAGTGGTCTGTGGAAATTCTTAGGTTAGTGGATGTTTTCTTCCCTTTTTGAGGAATTAGAAGTTGGAAAAGATCTATTGAAATGGGTATCTTTGCAATATTGTTTTATTTCATGGTTAAAAGCAGGTGTCTGGACTGTGGTCTAACATGTTAAGTTGCCACCTGCAACTCCAGCATCCCATACGAACGCTGGTCCTGTCCCAGCTGCTCCACCTCCCATCCAGCTCCCTGCTGATGCGCCTAGGAAAGCAGCAGGATGGAGCACCCAGGTGGGATACCCAGAAGAAGCTGCTGCCCACCCCTAGCCAAAGAGACCATTGAAGGAGTGAACCAACAGATGGAAGAACTCTCTCCTCCATGTAACTTAGAGAGAAGCGTGGCCATTCATCGACATCACGCCCTCACTGTCAAGGCCTCCTCGAGGCTTGACCTGCCCAAGGCCAGCCACTACTGTCCGGCTGAGGAGCACTTACTCCAAGGCCACGCGTAGTGTTCAGGAAGAAATGAAACTAAAGTGGTATCTTCTCCATTTTTTTGGATTTGTTTGCTTACGTATTTGAAAGACAGAATGACAAAGAGAGGGAGAAAGACGTCTCCCCCCTGCTGACTCATTCCCTCGAGCACAGCTGCAGAGCACGGACTGGGCTGGGCCAGGCCGGAGCTGGGACTGCAACCTGGGATGCCAGCAGCATCACCCTCACACCCCTGCCCCAGCCGGAATTGTTTTTGTTGGGGTGAAAGCTGTTTCCCATGGCTCATGCACAGACTGTCAGGGAGAGAAAACTCACTTCAGGAAGCAGACATTTGTTCTGGGCAACAATTAAAGTAAGAAAACGAATGGCTGTCAATGTACAGAAATTATAACTACGTGTGTGTGTGTGAATACGTGATTGCAGAAAGTGCTCACTGGGTTGTGTTCTGGACACATTTCCCATTAGAAGTGAATCTCAAGCCAAACATTTTGTTCAATAGTTTGTCTCCCTTTGTAGGTCACGATCTGGCTTTCCGTTAATACAAAGACCTTGCTCTTGGTGAGGCCTTGGGTTCAACTGCTGAGCATTGTGCCTGGATCAAGTTCACTCCCCTCATTTCAGTAAAAGCTGAGCCCCCAGCCCTAGGGAAAGTCACCTCTTTGTTCTGGTTTTGTTTCCAGTCCAGTTCGGAAGCAGCAAAATTGACAAAGAGCTGATAAACCGCATCGAGAGAGCCACGGGCCAGAGACCGCACCGCTTCCTACGCCGAGGGATCTTCTTCTCCCACAGGTCAGGGGTGGGCACCCGACCCTCCCCACCCTCGCCCTCGCCCTCTCTTTGCCCTGTGCCCACTGCTGCAGGAAAGACACCTTCTGTGCCAAGCCACTGAGCTCACCATGGAGCACGCCCGCACAGCCTCCCTTGGGCCCCCTGCTCTGCGAGGAGAGTCCTGCCAAATCACATGCTGTAAACTTTAAAATGTTGTGAGAACAAGAGGGATTCATATTCCACATCTAACATTTCCGTGCAGTAAACGATAGGCTTTCTGAAACTGGATAGCTGTTCCCTTGTTGTACTAGCCTAGATGTAAATGATTTCAAATGAGAAACTAACAGAGTTCCGTGACTGGCACATACGAACCTCAATGGCAAGCGGGTTCCGGGCTTTCTGCCTCTCCTACCCCATAGGTGACCCCGGTGAGGCAGGACCATTTGCTAACCTGTGGTCCTGGGATTTAGGATCCAGAGTTGGGTTAAAGTATAGAATTCAGTATATTTTAGTCTATTCACAGTTGTACAACCATTATGGCTGTATAGTTCTAGAACATTCTCATCTCTCGACAAAAAAACCTTGACCCCTAGCAGTGGTTCCCCACTGCCCCTTCCCTCCAGCGGCCAGCCACCAGTCCTCTGCCTTCTGTCTCCATGGGTTGAGTTTACCTGTTCTGGAATTATACTAACTGCAGCTGCTTTTATTTTTTAAGTGTCCCCCACATCTAAGGGCAAAATCATCTGTCATGAAGCTTCTGTGTGATAACACGCTGGCTGTCCCGTAGCTTCCTGAGTACAGTCCTCAAGTGAGGCACAGTGCTCTGTGGCTGTGCCTTCACATCACCCCAAGCAAGCCACCGAGAACAGCAGTCCATCTGTACTTGTCCATCTTCGTTCCCAAGTAATATTCCATGGGGGCGGGTTCCGTAGCGCTGCCCTGAGCGTGTGCGCTGTACAGGTGTTTGAGTAGTCTGTGGTTTCACTTCACTTTGCTGTATTTCTACAGGTAGAGTTGACGGTTTGTGTGGTAATTCTGTCTTTAATTTTCTGAGGTGCTGAGAGCCATTTTCCATAATAGCTGTATAATTTTACTTTCACCCAGTGGTATACAAGAGTCCTTTGCCCACTGTGTGCCATTTTCTGGGTTGTTTCTGCTTAATGCTGCCATCTCCTTGTGGTTTTAGTTTGTATTTTCTTAATGTCCATGCGAGCATCTTTTTATGTGCTTATTGGCTATTTTTATTTCTTAATAGGATTGTCTAGATCCTTTGCCTCTTGTGAATAGGTTGTCTTCTAATGGGGTTACAGTTGTTCCTTAATAATTCTGGATGCTAGCTTCTTGTCAGCATCTGATGTCATTTCTCCCATTACACAGTCTTGGTTGGTAATGTCCCTTTGAAGTTTTCTTTTGATGAAGCCGGTTTGTCTTCTCTTTCGTTGCTTGTGCTGTCAGTGTTACAGTTCAGAAGCCTTTCCCTAATCCAAGGTCACAGTGGTGCACCCTGTCTTATTCCAAGTTCTGTGGTTTTAGCTCTTCCACGTAGGTGTCCGATCTTGTCTCGAGGTTATTTCTGTGTTTGGGTGTAGTAGGGCTCCAACTTTATTCTTTCACTATTGAGCTTTCTTGGCGTCCTGTTGAGAGCCAGCATCATTCCTAACTCCCAGTCCTGTTCCGCTGATTTATGTCTTTCTGCCAACTGTACAGTCTTAATGTAACTTTGTAGTGAGTTTTGAAGTTGCAAAATTTTAACCCCACAGCTTTGTCCTTTTTCAAGATTATTTTTGGTTATTCTGAATCCTTTGCATCCTCATAGGAATTTTTGGATCAGCTTTTCCCATCCTGTAAAAAGACAACTGGGATCTTCCTGGGGATTGTACCAACCTGTAGACTAGTTTGAAAGCTGTTGCCATCTTTAAGTGTTCAGTCTCCTGACCCACGGGTGTGGAATATCTTCGTGCTTACTTGGTCTTGGGTTTCTTTTCGTGTCTTTTGTAGTTTCCAGTGTGCTTGTCTCACATATCCTTGCTTAGATTTATTCCTCAGGATTTCATCTTTTTGACACTGGTTAAGATGGCGCAGTTGCTTAATTTCATTTTCTGCTTGCTGTTTGCCACTGTTGAGAAACGCGGCTGCTGTTGGTATTGTGATGATATCCTGAAACGTGACTTGGTTTCTTTGTGCTAGTAGTCTTTATTTCTTGTTAATAGTATTCATCCATAAACTCTTCCGCGCAGATCATTATACCGCCGAAAAATGAAGACCATTTTACTTCTTCCTTTCCAGTTTGAACTTACTTGTTGCCTAATACTCTAACTTGATCTTTCAGGACAAAATTGAGTAGTGTTGAGAGTGGGCCTTTGCTCTTAGCTTTGGTCCTGGGAAGAGAGCTTGGTCTTTCACCATTGAGTAGGATGTCAGCTGTGGATTTTCAAAATACTCTTCATCTTATTAAGGAAATTTCTTTCTGTTCTTAGTCTGTTGAGGTGTTTTTTTGTGTGTTGGTTGGTTGGGGATTTTGGTTTTGTTTTCGTTTTAGGTCATGAAAGCATATTGAATTTTATCCGGTTTTTTCTGTTTCCTGTTGGCGTAATTATGTGTGCTCTCCTGAACTAAATTCACTGGCCGTATTTGACCTGTGAGCAACTGGGTAGACAGTAAATTCACGGCAAGAACTGAAAGACAAGAGCCGGTGCCATGGTGTAGGAAACTAAGCTTCCACCTACTGCACTGGCATCCATTGTGAGCACCAGTTCATGTCCTGGCTGCTCTGCTTCCAATCTAGCTCCCTACTTGTGGCCTGGCCCAATGCTTGGGACCTGCACCCATGTGGGAGGTATATAAATCTTTAAAAAAAGAGAGGGAGCACGGGAATACTGTCCTCGGACTGCTAGCCAGCCTCTATGAGCGGTAGAAAGCTCTTCGTTTTTTGGTTTTGAGCACTTTACCCAGATTCAAACAACTTTGGCAGTCAGGGGTATTGATTGCGCCTTGAAATATTGCTGAACATTTGAACATCTTACAATGTTTTTACAACTGCAAATTCTCAAACATCGCCTTGGGCCAGTGCTGGGAACTCTAAAGCTGCGCCCAGGAAACAGCCCTGCCCAGCCATCAGTGAGAATCCTTGACCTAGGGGGAGGAGAGTGACCCCTAAATGACTCACAGGACCGAGGGCCCAGGCCAACTTCCCAGCTGGGGACATCGTCTCTGGACTCCCTTGAACCCTGGGATTCTCCTGTGCTGGGGTCTGTCAACTGCCTGGCAGGGTGATGCCAAGTGAGGAGTGGGTGGTGCTGGCCTGAGTCCTGGGGAAGGCTGATGTGGCTGTGGTGCAGCAGGGCTGCTTGCAGGAGGCTGGAAGGACCTCGAGGAGTCCAGGAGCCTCCCAGCCATGTCTGCCTGTAAATACTGTTCCCTGCCTGAGGGTCTTATCCTTGTAAAATTCCCAGGGGGAAAGCAGTTCAGCAGCAGGCCTGTCCTTTTTGTACCTTGAGGATCAAGTGACTGGTTTTTCCTGCTGTCTCTTTATGTTCCATCTTGTTTCCAGGAAATCATTGCTTCGTTTTCTCCTGTTTCCTGCAGGGATATGAACCAGGTTCTTGACGCCTATGAGAACAGGAAGCCCTTCTACCTGTACACAGGCAGGGGTCCCTCTTCAGAGGCCATGCACGTGGGTCACCTCATCCCCTTTATTTTCACCAAGTAAGTGCTGGGCCCTGCGGCTTTGCTCCCCTTGGCAGGACTAACAGGGCAGAACTGACTGCCCTGTGCTGCTCCGGGGCATCAGAGGCACCGCCCCTTTGATACTTCTCACCTGGCTGGTTTCTAGACTCGCCTCAGGGGAATGTGGGGTGCCAGGAAGTGTGCTGCTCTTTAGCCTGCCAGGCCCCTTCACGTTCCATCCTGTTGCTGCCCATGTGGCCAGGACCACCTGTGTCACAAAGCCCGACTTTCCACATCTGCAAGCCGAGAGTGACGTCCTTGGCTCTGGGGAAAGCACGTGGCCAGCTGTGTGGACATCACTTGGGACTCCCTGTGCCCTGAGAATCAGCACCATCCCGCTGTGACACCGTCGTCCCATGGGGCACCGGTACAAGGCCAGCTATTCCACTAGTCCAGCTCCCTGCTAAGGTGCCAGGGAAAGTGCTGAAAGTTGACCCAGTACCTACCTCCTAAAATCATGATAGAGCTTCAAAATAGACTGTGTTACCCAGCCAGCCCGCTAGTAGGAGCTGAGTTTTTAGATGCCAAGTGGTGTTCTTCCACAAGCTCCTGGCCTGTCCCTGCAGGTGGCTGCAGGATGTGTTTGACGTGCCGTTGGTGGTGCAGATGTCGGATGATGAGAAGTACCTGTGGAAGGACTTGACCGTGGAGCAGGTCTATGGCTACACCCTGGAGAACGTCAAGGACATCATCGCCTGTGGCTTCGATGTCAACAAGACGTTCATCTTCTCTGACCTTGACTACATGGGGTAAGGGAAATGCCTGGCTGGCTCTGAACAGGAAGTCCGCGAGAGCGTGGCTGAACCTGAGACATCCTAAATAGCTACAAGACCTGCTTAGTGTTAGGGCACGATTTATTGTTCTGTTTATCAGTAATTTTGCAAGTGGAAAGTTGTGTGTATACATAGAATAAATCAAGTTCTATCAGCATCTTTTAAGGTGCAACTCTTACCTTTACCATTCATAAACATTGAAAGGGTCAAAATATTTCTTAAAGTTCCTGAGAAAAAAATTAAAAGATTAAGCCATTTTGTTGCAAGAAGATTTTTAAATCCATGCATTGTTTTTTCGTAATATGATATATATTTTCTGAGAACATTTGGAAGGCCCATCATATGCATGGATTTCAACTTTTGTACATGAAAATAAACATTGGTTTTCCTCCAACGTGCCCAGACACAGTGTGGCAGCCTCATGAGTGTTCACTCAGCCTGGACAGAGAAGGGCTTTGTGTTCCAGGTGTTCTGGAAGGATGGTCAGTCTCATAGGTCTTGAGTTCTTCCTACACTCTACAGGCCAAGGTCAGTGTGATGGAACACCAAAGGGCCTGCTATTACCATCTCTCCAGAAGGTAGCATCCTCACCTCCTCTCACCCTCCCAGTGGCAGGCAAATCACAGCCACAGCAATCCAGTATGTGGCACAGCTCCTGCCATGCAAGGAAACTCTTGGTGAGCAGGCTTCCCACTGCCACCAGCCAACCGAAGAGCCTGCTGCATGGCACAGCGGACTGGAGGTGAAACATCAGGCCAGCATGGACTCTGCCACAGGGCTGTCCCCCGGTGGAAACGAAAGGGTGGCCAGATGCTGAGAGGCCCATGCAGGCTGTCCTGTCCCTGGGCCTCTGAGTCTCTGCCCACACTCTCCATCTGGCCACGTGGAGCAAACAGTCCTACAGCACGTCTGTCTCCATAGAAAAGCTCACTGGGATTCCCAGCTTGGGTTCCATGGCACATGGGACCGCGGGCCCCAGCAGAATTTCCCTGGTGATAGTGCCCACATCTCTGGACCCGGATATGCCCTTGCCTCATTGCATGTCTTATTCGTGTGGGTTCCACATGGGCTTCTGCCTGCACCGGTCAGCTCTGCCTGCTCTGCAGGTGTCCTGGCACCTTGCTGCTCCTGCTGGACCTCCGCACTGGCCAGCCTTGGTGGCATTGGCCGCCTTCAGCCACAGCTGCCCCACAGTCAGCATTGCTTCCCGTCCTCTTCGCAGGATGAGTCCGGGCTTCTACAAGAACGTCGTGAAGATTCAGAAGCACGTCACCTTCAACCAAGTGAAAGGCATCTTCGGCTTCAGCGACAGCGACTGCATCGGTGAGGGGCCGTCCAGCGGAGTGCAGGGGACAGCACACGAGCCCAGTGGGGCATTCAGCACAGTCGTCGGCCTACCGTTTAGGGTTCCTCCCGTCTCAGAGGACTGGTTGCTGCTCCTGGGTCCCAGCTGATGAGCATAGTTCCACCCACATTGGAGCCCAGGGTCTAGTACTAGCCCCAGCAGATGACACCGCACCTGCTTGCTTTCTCCCTTTCTCTCCCTGCTTTCCTTCCTTCCTAATCAAATGTAAATAATTTTAAATTTTCTTTTAATATTTCATTTTCAAAACATCTGTCCAAGCACCGATGCTGTATCTGAGATAGCAGTACACTCAACACTTCACAGGCCGTGTGGCTGTTTCTCCTCAGTCCCGCACACTAGGATTGAGAAGATGGGTGCCTGTGCAGTTCTAGCAGCTTCCATGAGGACCCCAGTCAGTGTGGGAAGGCCTGTGGTGCACACAGAGTACAGGAGCGCAGCTGGGCCTGCCGCTCGCTCTGGCTGGACTGGAGGGTCTAGTACAGGAGCTTGGTTCAAAGCAATGGCGACATCATGTTTCAGTAGCACCCATTGCAAGAAAGTGTCCCCAAGACAGGACTTGGGTACACAAAGAGCGGCGGGACCGTGCAACCGTCCACTGCTGAGAGCGTGTGTCGTCAGCAGTGGCCACAGTGTGCCTGAGCCCTGCATGGGACTGGCGAGGACCCGAGACACGGTGCCAGCACGCACCTCGACCGAGATGTCCAGCATAAATGACTCAGTTGGAGCCCTCTCGGTGCCCGGAGATTAGGCAGTGGTTAAGAGGGGATCCTTGACAGGTGGGCTGTGTTCAGTCGCAATGTTGGTACATGGCTTAGTGCAGAAGGGGTGCACAGTTCACCCCAGCTGTGATGCTGGAGTAAAATACAGAAGAAAAACAGATGAAAATACATGAGTTAGGACTGTAAGGCTTTCTGTTTTTCAGGTTTCCCTTCATGATTATTTTGCAATGGGGAAAATTGCCCTTTTTGTTCTTTCCTCTAACTGGATGAATTAAAACCAGCATTGGTGTCATGTGTACTAACGTGTTCCCCTTGCTCCAGGCAAGATCAGTTTTCCTGCCATCCAGGCCGCTCCCTCCTTCAGCAGCTCGTTCCCTCAAATCTTCCACAACAGGACTGACGTGCAGTGCCTCATCCCGTGCGCCATCGACCAGGTCAGGCAGAGCGGGCTCGCCGCCCGGTCCCCAATCCAGCGACTCGCTGCTGTGCCTGCCTGCTTGTGGGAGGGGTGGGGGAAGAGGGACGATTTCTTTGGCCAATGAGAAGCTCCCCAGTGGATGAACCCCAGGCTACATACAGCTCCTCTCACATGGCCTGTCCCCACAGGATCCCTACTTCAGGATGACCAGAGACGTGGCCCCCAGGATCGGCTACCCAAAGCCTGCCCTGCTGCACTCGACTTTCTTCCCCGCCTTGCAGGGCGCACAGACCAAGATGAGCGCCAGCGACCCCAACTCCTCCATTTTCCTCACAGACACAGCCAAGCAGATCAAGACCAAGGTGAGCGGCACCTGGGCAGGGACAACCTGCAAGCCAGGAGCACACATGCGTCTGCACTCCCACAGCTGCCTCAGCCACCAAGGCCAGCAGGAGTCCAGGGTGGCCAGCTGCTTGCTGCACCACTGCAGGGACTGTCCCTGGGGCCTTTCAAGGAGGCAGTGTTCCTAGCCTGCCTTTCTCACCGAGACACTGTGCTGGGAGTGCAGTTATGGCGATGTGATTTAATGTTAGTTAATGTGGCTGTTGGTGTATTTCTGAGCCCTGGTCAGGAGCCTGGTTGGCATCCTGGAGCTGGTGGCGGTGGTGGGGGTGAGCCCAGGACGGTGTGGGGCATCACCCGCCAGGACAGTGACACTGCTGCAGGCTGTGGGCAGCCATCCTTGGGCCCAGGCCCCAGCACTGAGGCTCCTCAGCAGAACAGCCCAGCATGCAGCAAGTGCTCAGGAATGTCACCACGTCACTCGGGAGCAGCTGGGCTGTGTGTGCGGCCTGCTCTCCAGAGCCTGGTGCCGTTGTGCGCCAACCTGCCTCCCCGTGCTGCTCCCGGCTGCTGACACAGTATTTGCTGTGTGTGTGAGCTGGAAGACTGCAGCAGAGTGACTTTGTTGAGGCACATAACAGCTGGCTGACCCTTCTGGAGCATCTCATGCAGGCATGGTCAGCAGTGAGAAATCCTTCCTCCAGGAAGTGACTCCGCTGGGCTCTCCATTGAGAGGCAGCTGGTGGAATTATGCCTAGGGCTTCCTCTGAACTGCAGAGGAGCAGAAGGGAAGCAGTGCAGGGGGAGATGATTATGAATGTTCATAGCTCGAGGCATGTTTCATTTGCTCAGGGCCTAGCACTGATCTTGAAGGGTGAGCAGCGAGTGTGAGATCGGGGTACCGGGGGCCAGCAGGGGATTTCAGGGTCCAGGGGAGCAGGTCACCATCAGACTCATCTCCGCACTAGAGGACATTGGCTCCACCCTCCTTCCGAATAACTGCAGGGCCACACTGGTCAGACACGTGGATGTGACGCCGAGCACCTGTCACGCTGGTCCTAATAAGCACCCCCAGAAGGCTGTGCCCATTCTGTAAGTGAGGGAGGCAAGGCTAAGAGGCCCAGCGGCTTCCCTAAGGTCAGAACAAACCCAGGACCCCTCCTCCGTCACTGGCTTCTTGGGACTTGAGTCATCAGTCCCAGGGAGTCTGGGTGTTTGCCCTCTGCCCAGACTCTGTCATGACCGATGGAGTTTGGCTGTACCCCTCACCAAGTGTCTGCACTGGACGCCAGTGGAGCATCCTGTGACAGTGAGGAGCTCCTGCTCGGGTCTGGGTGATTTGTGGGACCCAGGGGAGTACTCCGAGTGCAGCAGACGAACAGCCCACAGCCAGCACCTCTGTCCACCAGGGCTTCTTACAGAGCCTCGTCCCCTGGGCGGCAGGTGGGGACGGAAGTCCTTGCTGCACGAGCTCAGACAGCAGCAGGCCCTCCTGTGTACGAGCAGCCCGTGTGGAGGATGTTTGTATCTGATGCGACTGCAGCCTTATCACTCTGGAAGTAGCTGCAGATGTGGAGACTCTACAGCAGGTTGTGCAGTTTCCAGACCCCACAGGGCATGCCCAGTGAGCCCAGCTATCCAGGTTCTTCATTAGGTGAGAGCAGCCAGGCTGGCGGTGTCACAGGCATGACACTGAGCTTCCCCAAGGTCCCGTGTGAAAGGTGAGCTGAGGAGTCCTGCCAGATTAGAGAGCCCAGAGCAGAAGTGAATGACCACCGCGCAGCCCGAGCAGAAGTAGCGCCTGCTGCCCATCCCTGTCCCCTATGGAGCCCGCAGAGTCCGTCACAGCATCCACAAGCAGCCCCAGTAGATGTGGAGCCCCCACTTCTGCAAGTGTGCCCATAACACGGATGTCAGCCTGGCCTCCGGCTCAGGCTCCAGCGTCAGTCCTGTGGCTTAGCCGTCAGCTGCTGTGGGGCAGCCAGGGCGCTCTGGTGCCAAGAGCTCCGTGATTCACTGTGGAGCGTCCTTGTGGCCCTGCTTCCTGCTTCACAGATCCCTCTGCTTGCCTGCTCTGTCCTTTCTGCTCCCGGAGCGACTCTCACACATCTTAAGCCTGTTTGCTGTCAGGTTCCCGTACAGTGGCCTGTAGGCCAGGCCTGCACTTCTCCAAGGTCATCTTCACAATTCCTAAGCACACACCTCCCACCGTGGGGCAGTTTCTTAATTTTCCTTCAGTTTCTGAAACCTTGCCATGTTTTATTTTACTATTTTGTTTATTGGAAAGAGAAGGAGAAACAGATCTTCCATTCTCTGGCTCACTCCCCAGGGGGCCACAACAGCCAGAGCTCAGCCAACCCAACACCAGGAGCTTTATGCGGCTCTCCCTCATGGGTGCAGGGTCCCAAGGCACTGGGCCGTCCTCCACTGCTTTCCCAGGCCACAGGCAGGGCGCTGGATGGGAAGCAGGGCTAGCAGGATTAGAACTGGCGCCCGTCCATACGGGATCCTGGCGCATTCAAGGCAAGGACTTAAGCCGCTAGGCCACTGCGCTGGGTCCCCTTGCCATGTTTAAGCAAAGTGTGCCCAGGTGCTCTGCTGCCTCTCCATTTCGTGGGGTCCGGTTTCCCCGCAGCCTTCTGGCTCTTGTTTACGTGGGAGGGAGCTGCCCTCCTGTGGCCCCGCAGCCAGGAAGACCTGCCGCAGGAGCAGGCCGTGTCCCGATGCCTGCTCCGTCTGGCTTGCACACCTGCCCTGCACCTCATTGCCTGACAGCGCCGGCAGATATCCCGTGTTTCAGCCCTGGTGGCACTTTGTTTCTCCTGCCCTCCTCCTCACGCCCCTTCTCTGCAGCCTGCACCCAAAATTTGCTAGAATCAGCTGTGTGCATGCCGCCCTTCCCTGACTTCAGACTCACCGCTGGGCGCCTGGCAGCAGGACTGACGGCCTCTCCCTGTGCGCTCACTCATGCAGGTCAACAAGCACGCCTTCTCTGGGGGCCGGGACACCATCGAGGAGCACAGGCAGTTTGGGGGCAACTGTGACGTGGACGTCTCTTTCATGTACCTGACCTTCTTCCTGGAGGATGATGACAAGCTGGAGCAGATCCGGAAGGTGAGGTAGCCCCCACTCCCGCCGTCCCTGCCTGCACAAGCTCGCTGGGGACCACAGGCTGCCTTACAAGGTGCTTGGAGCCGCCTGTGTCGCCGGGGCCTTAGGCAGACCCTCGACTGCGGGGCATGTTGATATCTCTGCAAAGGAAAGTCCCTGAGTTCGGGGGTCGTGGGTGTTTAAAATTTATTGATTTTTATTGGAAAGCCAGACTTACAGAGAAAAGGGAGCTGGTTCGCTCTACACAGCAACAAGGAGCCTGGACGGTGCCCTGGTCTCCCACGTGGGTGTAGAGGCCCACCTGCTGCTGCTGTCCCAGGCGTGTTAGCAAGGAGTTGCATAAAAAGTGGAGTAGCCAGAATTCGAACCAACACCCTTACAGGATACAGCCCCACAACAATTGAAGTAGCTGTTTGTGTGGCATCCATGCAAACAAGTGTTATCTGTAAATTAAAGCACTCCATCTGTGGGATCAGCAGGACTATTATATTGCTATTGATCGTGAACTTTTTTTAAAGTATTTGTTTTCATTTTATTTGAAGGCAGAGAGAAATACCTCTTCCATCCACTGGTTGATCCCACAAAAGCCTACGAAGGCGGAGGTTAGGCCAGGCTTCCGCTTTCTTCTTTCTTTTTTTTTTTTTTAAAGATTTATTTTTATTGGAAAGGCAGATTTACAGAGAGAAGGACACAGAAACAAAGGTCTTCCGTCCACTAGAGCTGAGCCAATCTGAAACCAGGAGCCAGGAGCTTTTTCCAGGTCTCGCGTGCAGACGCAGGGTCCCAAGGCTTTGGGATGTCCTCTGGCCACGGTCAAGGAGCTGGGTGGGAAGTGGAGCGTCCACTGTATGGGATCCTGGAGCATGCAAGGCGAGAACTTTAACCACTAGGCTACCGCTCCGAGTCCCGGATTCCCACTCTGCCCACTGCCTACTAACATACTTGGGAAGGCAGCAGATGACCCAAACACACAGGACCCTGGTGCCGACATGGAGGCCTGAATGGAGCTGCAGATGACAGCCTCAGCCTGGCCCAGCCCTGGCTCTTGTGGCCATTTGGGGAGTGAACCAGTGGTTATAAAGTGAGTTATGAGTTACAGTCACCTGTTTAAAAACAGAAAAGGATGTGGATGGTGATTTCAGCTGCATGGAAATGCACAAAGCGGGGAAGCGAGCCATCAGCTCGAGTCCTGGAATTGAGCATGGTTATTTTCCCTGCCTGGCCACCACTCTGTGTGACTTAGATATTTCCTTAAGGTTTCGGTTGCTTTACAGTCAGAGGGAGAGACGGCTGAGAGGTTGGGAGGAGGCAGTGAGCTTGCCAGGAGCTCGTGTGTTGGGTGTGCTCGGAGCAGGCTCCCCGCCTCGGCAGGGCGCTCTGACCGTGCTCCCAGGGCCAGGCTCCTAGCCGCCCTGTGCGGGTGGCGTGGGCAGAGCTGACGCTGGCAGCTCCTCACCTGCTGTGGCTCTGGCAGGATTACAGCAGCGGTGCCATGCTGACCGGCGAGCTGAAGAAGACGCTCATCGAGGTCCTGCAGCCGCTGATCGCCGAGCACCAGGCGCGGCGCAAGGAGGTCACCGACGAGATGGTGAAGGAGTTCATGACGCCGCGGAAGCTGTCCTTCCACTTCCAGTAACGCTCACCTTATGTGCGCATCAAGTAATGTGATTTATCTGTGATCCCAGCCCATGGAATCACCACTGCCCGTGGCTCTGCCCTGTAATTCCTGGGCCTGCTGTCTGAAGCCCCATGTGCACCCGTGTGTTCCTTGCTCATCTGTCTCTTGGCCGGAACACTGCAGGTGGTGGGGTCACATGGCAAGGTCCTCCTTTGAGTCTCCCACAAAGCGAGCAGGACATGGAGCCTCTGCTCATGAGGCCGCTGTGTTGGCACACAGCTCCAGACAGGCTCCTAACTACCCATTCAGGCTGCTGGCCTGGATCACCCAGCGCCCTTGACAGACTGACAGGGGCAGCTTAACGGGCACAAGGTATATTTCAGCCCATGCCAAAGAAAAAGTGGGTGGCCAGAAGCTTTGCTGGACATGTAACTAACAACTGTGCTGTGGGCAGAGTGGGGAGACTTTGAGGTTACTTACTAAACTCCACACCATGCATGTTCTGCACTCCAGAAACCTAGTTCTCGTCCCCCAGCCTGCCATCTGGCCCGTCAGTGATCCCAGCTCCAAGCTGACGACCCCAGTGCGCCTGCGCCCTCGGCAGGTGCAGTGCTGAGCAGGTGCGTTCCCTTTGCAGATGCTTTTGTTTTGACACCTGACCACAATGGAGCCAGCCAGAGCGGTGCCATGGCGTGCCCTGAGCAAGTGGAGCTAGCTAGAGAGTGGCACTGCAGTGGTAGTGGCAGCCCCGGCGGCCCTCAGCGGTCTCTCTGGGGCAGGCCCACTGACTTGTACCACATGTACCCGGTACCTGGTACAGAAGCCACATCTCAGAAAGCAGTCCTGATTGGAGCCTGTCCTTCCCGAAGGCAGAGTCCGCCCCACGGTGCTGTGCCCTCTTGGCACTCGCTTGGGTATAAATAAACATGTGCTCCTATCCTTCTGTCTGAACATCTGTGCCTGTACTCCGTCCTGAAGGACCAGGGAGGGCCAGCGGCCTTGCCACACCAACCTGGAAGGCCTGTGGCAGGATGCTCGCGGCAGTTCTGGCTGTCCCCTGCTGCGTGTATTCCCAGCTGCCTGGCGGAGGGAACAGACAGATGTGCTCACGACCAAAGGGAAGCACAGCTGCCTCGGCCGTGTGTGGCCCAGCACAGGGAGCCTACTGCCATGCACCTTGCTCTCGTGCCACGGGCCCAGCTCCACGTCACAGGTAGGAAACCAGCTCTGAGAGGAGAGGGTCCCTGTCCCAGGCCACACTGTGACTTGGTTCCATAACACAGACTCACTATCCAGAGAGACAGAGATCCGATCGCAGGCCTGGGTACCAGTTCTACCACAGAGCCCTGTGTGCGGCACGAGCTTCCCGAGTCCGTCTCCTGCAGGGCTAAGCTTCCATCCAGGCCCAGGCATGTCTGCCTGCAGCCCACTCAGGACGACCAAATTCATCAGGCACCTGGTCCTACACGGGACTCTGTTGTGCCTGTGTCACAGGTGCAAGTGTGCAGATGAACTGAGGGGCACGCAGCGCCCAGGGCTGGCATTGCCCACCAGCCGGCGTGGGGCCCTGGAGTCAAGGCAGAAGGAGCCCACACTGAGCAGCTGGTGGACTGTGGGCACTTGAGTGGCGTCACTGCTCTGAGCATCTCGTAAGATGAGAACAGCAAGGGTCCGCCACCCGCTCTGCCCCGTGCTGCCGAGAGCTAATCACTTGCTGTCTTGCTTACTTGCTTGCTGTTAAGATCATTCAGTCTCGTGGCCGCAACAGCCGGGTCTTGGGCTTCTTCAAGTCTCCTGAGCCCAAGCACTTAGCCTACCGTCCACTGTTGGGTGCCCGTGGGGCTAACATGACTAGGTCAGTGCAGAGTGCTGTGGCAGAAGGCGGTCTTTGCTGCCCCTCCTGCCCGCCACCAACCTGTGGCCAAGACCAGCAGCCATCTACCATCAGGGCCCGTTGTGCCAAGGCAGAGTTGGTGTGGTTGGGGGCGATGCCTGGGGGCCAGGCTTGAGCTGCAGCCACACCTGTTCAGCATGCCTCGGTTCTGTGATTGGTGCCCAGCTGTGGGAGCCCCCACCCCCACCCAACACTTACTTCCCATTTGAAATTTCAGTTGTAACTCGGTCAGCCCTTCTCTTCCAGCTCCTCCGCCCCGTTTTAAAGAGCAGGGTGGCCACTGCTGCCCAGAAAGCCAAAGGTGCCCTTCCTGTGAGCTGCCACCCCAGTAGCAGCCCCTGGCCTGGCCTGAGCCTGCTATCCAGTGAGGCAGACTCAGCAGGGCCAGAGCCTCAAGCACAGAGCCACAGATGCTGCCACTCGTGCCTGAGCCATAAGCGACTGCAGGCCAGGGGCAGGTGGGGGCGAGGAGTGCCATCATCCCTCACTGTGCCCCTGCCCAGATGTCCAGTGCGAGGGGCTCGCAGGAAGCTGGCAGGGCAGCCGGCAGGGGAGCTTCCTGGAGGAGGAAAGGCTTGACTAGTGCAGTTAGAGGGTCGGAGGTGCCCAGCACTGCAGGAACCTTGGACTTAGTCCAGGCCACAAGTGGAGCAATGGGAGCTCTAAGGACATCCAATCCGAAGTCAGTCAAGGTCACTGTCGGCCAGCTTTACCAGAGGCTGTCCATGGTAACTCCGGCCCCTGCCTGCTGTGTGATGCCCAGCAGGCCCTTCTGCCTCTCTGGGTTCACTGTTGCCCTGGTATCCAGCTGCTGTGGCACCCACCCCCCAGAGGAACAGCAGAGCCACGGCAGCCGTAGTGCAGGACCAAGGCCCGAGAAGCTGGAGGCAGGAAGCAGCTGACACCACCCCACACAGCAACACCCTGAACTTCCTCCAGAATGTTTTATTGACATTAGCTCCCAGGCTGCCCATCTTCACATGACACGCAGCAGACTCCGCATCAAGCTTGGACCCTGCCAAGCCCAGCTGCCCTGGTCGTGCCCTTGGAGCGGCCTGCAGCGAGTGGCAGATGGCAATGCCGCCACCTTCCACCACAGCCCCCAGTGTCTGGTAGAGAGACGAGCAAGGTGGCTGCTAGGGGGACAGTGACACAGGACACATGGGCTAAGAGCAGACTTGAACTGTGCAGCACGTGTGACCAGGCCAGGTCAGCAAAGGCTTCTCAGGAGGATGGGGGCAGGGGCAAGGGCAGAGGGAGCGAACAGCTGCAGGAACAACTCCTTGTGTCCAAGGCCCTGTGTCAGAGGCTACGTTCCCTGGCTTGTGTGGCCCTCAGGCTGAGCCGGGGCAGTTACAAGGAGGCCCCTTGACCTAGTGGTCAGTAGCTGGGCCGGCCAGGCTCAGGCCCTACCCTGCTGGCTGCAGGAAGTTCTCCCACTGTCCTGGCTGAGGCCCTTTGGAGGCCTGACCCCAACCACAGCCCCCGTGGCCTCTGGCTGCCACCACAGTCCGGGGAGATGGCTGGCAGCTTGACCACGGGTTCCACTATGTGGACAGGCCGTGGGTGAGCTTCAGCGCGGCCTCATAGGCAGCAAAGACCACCATGTTGACAGGGAAGGCACGGCAACAGTTGAGTGTCAGCCCCTTGAAGAGGACCCGCAGCCCCTCCTCACGCACACTGGTCACCATGCAGTGCAGGAGGCCCCGGTAGCGTTGCTGGCCCTGTCCATCAGCCTGCAGGCGTGACTTGATCACGTCCATGGGTGTGGCCACAGCCCAGGCCAGGACCCCGGCACAGCCTCCAGCTACCAGCACACCCAGCACATCTGCAAAAGAAACCGGGGTATCCCCCGCCCCCGTAAGCTGGGAGCACTGAGGCTTAGAAAGAGGAATATGGGGCCCAGAGCAGAAGCCTAGCAGCACAAGGACCTCACCTCATACATGCCAGGATCCCATATGAGTGCGGGTTCTGGTCCTGGCAGCCCTGCTTCCCATCTATCTCTCTGCTTGTGGCCTGGGAAAGCAGTTGAGGACAGCCCAAAGCCTTGGAACCCTGCACCCACATGGGAGACCTGGAAGAAGCTCCAGACTCGTGGCTTCAGATTGGCTCAGTTCCAGCCATTGCGGCCACTTGAGGAGTGAACCAGTGAATGAAAGATCTTTCTCCTCCTTTCTGTATATCTGACTTTACAATAAAAATAAATAAATCTGGAATAGGATGCTACTCATTAATAAAGGGGAGGACGGAACATGGTTAATCCAAGGTCACACCTTGACCTTGATTCCTAGTGACGCTTAGCGTCCAGTCCCAAACAGGTCCTTGAGTGTGGCTCCATCGAGGTCTCCCCTGTAAGTGGCCCAACCCTTCCCCAGCACACCCCAAACCCCGCAAACCTGGCTGGCTGTGGCCCGTGGCAGTGAGCCACTCGCAGAGGATGGCGTAGGAGAGGAAGTAGGTGGCGAAGGAGTGGCCATCCCGCAGGAGCAGGGCAGAGGAGCCCTTGTAGAGGCCCCGCAGCCCCTCCTCCCGGGCCACCGTGGCCAGGCAGTGCAGTGGCCCGTGGTACTTGGGCTCAAGCCCTGGCCCCGTATAAGGTATGGGACATGCCGGGGGTGCAGCCGAGAGCCAGGGGGCCGAGGGCCGCCGCTGCGGCTGCGGCTGCGTCTGCATTTGCAAGCGGACCTTGGCCACTTCTGTGGGCGACGTCAGGAACACCTGGGGCACAAAGAAGTGAGGATTGAGATGGTCCTGCAGCTCCGCCCATGATGGCCTGGGCTTCGAGGCCAGCTCTGCCCATCCAAGGCCCAAGCCAGAAAGGTTTTCTAAAGCCACATCCCTCCCGGTGCAGGCTTCGGGGCTCGCTGCCACACAGTGCAGCAGTGGGACTGTTGGTGGCTGCTGCCTGGGGGTGGGACGCATCCATGCCAAGTCCCCTGCTGTAGGGGACACCCACAACCCTGTCCGTTCCCTCCCAGAGGAAGAGACAAACATTCAGCAGCCCAGGTACCCCAGCCTCCCGCGGACTTCCTGTCCCTCGGGTCCTCAGGCCTCCACAGGACCACCCCCTTGCCACAGCCCAGTGGGCAGCCTGGGCCCAGCCTGGTAGCACTGGCTCCACCCAGACTCCCGCCAACCTTAGACCCTCACAAGGTGAGGCCTCAGCGCTGCCCGCCAGGCCCCCACTCACGCGCACGACTCCGGAGGCGAATCCCGAGAGCGCAATGTCAGCCTTGGCGGGCGGGGCGTCAGCACGACCATGCCTGAGTGTGCAGATGTGTGCCAGGCAGCGGCGGTAGGTGCCGAAGGACACAGACGAGACCAGGGACACCGTGCACACGGGCAGCGAGAGGCCACGGTAGAAGCCCCACACCTGGGGGACAGGGCCCTGTCAGGCGTGTGACCACCCCGGGGGGCGGGGTACCTGAGCCACCCACCCTGGGACCAGCAGCCAGGGTCTGCCCAAGCCACCGCAGACCCTCATCCTAAAGGGGTGGATCCCAATGCTCAAGTTGGAAGGTCACGGCCGGGCCACTCAGGGGTGGCTTTGTAATGGCCATGAACTGCCATGTCTCGCGGTCACTCTGGGAGACCATCACCTGTGCCCTCCTCCAAGCTGGGCTCAGGCTGGACCGTGCCAGAGGTGCCAGGGCGCTCCACCCTACACTGCTCCACGGTGCTCAGCACGGGGGACAGGGAGGCAGCAATGACAAGGCCTGCAGTCAGGGCCGGCCCTGTGGCAGAGGTGCACCATGTCTGCAGTGCCAGCATCCCATAGGAACACAGGTTGAGGCAGCTCCCTGAGCGCTGTACCCAACTCAGACCCAGACGAAGCTGCTGCTCCTCCGTGAGCCTGGCCCAGCTATCTGAGCGAGTGCGTCAGAGCATGTAGCATCTCTTGCTCCCTTTTCTTTTTTTTAAGATTCATTTATTTTTATCGGAAAGGCAAGATTACAGAGAGAGAAAGATCTTCCATCCACTGGTTCACTCCTCAAGGGCCGCAACAATCGGAGCTGAGCTGAACCGAAACCAAGAGCCAGGAGCTCTTGGGGTCTTCTGGGTCTCCCATGCTGCAGGGTCCCAAGGCTTTGGGCCATCCTCCACTGCTTTTCCAGGTCACAAGCAGGGAGCTGGATGGGAAGCAGGGCTGCCGGGACTAGAACCAGCACCCATATGAGATCCCGAGTGTGCAAGGCAAGGACTTTAGCCACTAAGCTACCGCACTGGGCCCAGCATCTCTTTCTTTCACTTTGTCTGTGTAACTCCTCCTTTCAAATAACCAATGTAAAACAAAAGTAAAAGACAAAAGACAGCCCCTCTCCTGACCACGTCCCCGCGGTGCGCCAGACGCCCCAGCGCAGGCCTCGCTGAGACAGGGACAGCTGCTTCCATTTGGAAGGTGAGAGTGCCAAGGTCCGAAAGCAGACTCACACGCTGGGGGGAGGGACGGGCCTGTGCCCAGGGCCCCACGCCCCCTTGCCCAGCCCGGCCAGAGACCTACCCGCTCCTGGCGATATGTGTCCCGGATGCAATGCCAGATGCCTGTGTGCTTCCGCTCTGTCTGGATCCTGACCTGGGGGAGAAGCGGCCTCAGAGAGTGGCCAGCAGGCCAGGGATGGTGAGCCCACCCAGGGAAAGCCAGAGGGCCTGGGAGTGCCATGGCCCCAGGACCAGGGGCAGGCACTGAAGGCCCCGTGAGCCAGGCAGGGCTGCGTTGGATCTGCATTCTAGAAAGGTCTTTGGGCCAGAAGTGGGGTACAAGACACACTCAGGGTGGCCTGGGGTGTGGTCGCACCTTCACCGTATCCAGGGGATAGCCCACAGCAACTCCACAGATGCCTGCAGGAGAGAGGCGTTCTTGGGTGAGCATGGAGAGCAGAGCTGGCCAGCACTGCAGGCTCGCTGTACAGGAGCAGGAGGAGGGGAACGCTGGCTGGCGCCCAGGGTGCACCCCCACACTGAGCTCTCCTATGGGCACCAGGGCTCAGCAGGCCTGAACAGGGTCCCTGTCTCGTCTTCTGTCCAAGTGCTGCATCCCTGGGTCGCGGGGACAGGTGGGCGACCAGGGCTTTCCCTGGAGTGCCGTGAATGGGCCATGGCGCACAGGGAGCACATGGAGCAGGGAGGCCTCAGGCCAGGCTATACCCAGGATCAGCTGGGCCCTCAGCTGGGCCTGCACCTCGTCTGCTGTGGCCCACCCCACCACCCTGCCGCTTCACACGGTGTGTGTGGGAAGGGCATCCCTCAGCGCCCCAGAGCCTTCCCCCACTGTGGCCACATAACCTTGCTGCCACCACCTCCAAGTGCCACCCTTGGCCAAGATTGTTGTCCCTGGCTCTGGCGGCAAGGGTGCCTTGGCCTCCTCCGTGGGGTGGCCTCAGGGTCTCCCCTGACCCCCACCGGGGCTCGGGTCTGTCCTCTCCGGGTCCCCTTGCACCGAGCACGCCAGGCCGGGGAGGCGTGGCAGGGGACAGGGTCGATGGTGCTTCTCTCACAGGGTCACTCTTTCGCAAGGAGCTTCCTCCATGGAGACTGAACCGGTTAACCAGCGGGGTTGGACCCCAGCAACCAAGCCTCCACATCTCCAAGTGAGTCCCTGCTGGGAGCTCCAGGCCCCTCCTCCCCCTCCCAGGGCTGGGGCATAGCCCACAGGGCTCAGTACCCTCTCCCCACACCGTGTACTGGCACTTGATGGGCTACAGCCCACCCTGGGCGTCCCCAGCCACACAGCTCTCCCCAGACCAGCCACTGCCTCCCTGCCACAGGACCCAGCACCAGCTGGGCCTTGGTCCTGCCCCCAAGCCCACTGCCCCCACCAGTCACCTCCAAAGGCTCCAGCAACAAAATCCATGGATGGCGTTGGCGGAGGGCCTTGCGTGCGGCTCCCTTAGAGTACTCTGGCAGGCTGCCACCTCTGGGGTGGCTTCAACAGCCTGTCCCCTCAGCCCTTAAATATCTGTGGTGGGCGGAGCGGGGCGGGGCAGACATTACCTTCCTAGAAGCACAGGTCGATGGCCCACACCCACATGCCACGTGGCTGCTCCCCGGTCCCCCTCCTCCGTCCCCCAGGGCCCTTGCCCCAGTCCCCCGGATGTAGGTAAAGTGTGTCAAAGATCACAGAGGGGCAGGCCGGGCCCCAGCTACCAGCAGCACCTCCAGCAGAGGCTCCTAGCAAGCTCAGGCAAAGGGACCAGCCCTGGTACCCCTGCGCCTGCTCCCACTCTGGGGCTTTGCCATGGCTGGGTCTCCCAGAAGCCTGGCACGGGGTGGCTGGTCCAGGGGCAGTGGGCCCCTAGGGGCAGCCATTAGGGCAGCCATTGGATGACAGCCTGCAGCCATCCTAGCACCTCTCTCCAGGAGGGATGCCAGGAGGAACCCCACAGGCCTCTCATTCTGGGCTCAGAACCTGCCAGCACCCACCCTGTGTCACCCCTGCGGCAGCTCCAGGGGACTGCCCAGTTCTTGGCACAGCCTTTGCGGAGTGGGGGACGGGCGGCTGTGGCCATCTGAGTGGTCCCCAGGGTGCAGGCAGAGCAGGAGGCCACGTGCCGGCTTGTTTTCCTGTCCTCCGACGGGCTGGCCTTGAACGGCGCTGACAGCGACGGGGGTGCGGGGCAATACCCCTGAGGAGCACAGCGAGAACTGTGCCAGCTGCCACGGCAGAGGACAGAGGGCAGGTGCTAGCCCTTCCAGCGGGACCTGACGGAAACATGGCTAACACGGCTTAGGGTCTGAGGAACACTGATCCCCCACAGCTGCAAAGCCTTGGGCAGGCTGCTGGCCTCCCAGCACCCCAAGTCCTGCACCCCCAGAATAACAGCTCCATGTGGGGGCCAGGGCTGTGGCAGCCAAACTGGAGCACAGGCCGAGAGGATGGGGTGACCCATGGCATCCAGCGCTGGCGTGGTCAGCAACAACTCCAGTTCGCTCAGAGATGCTAATTCGAGAAGCCAGGGCTGTGGGCCACGAAGCCTGGGGGCTAGGGCCCACAGTACCCAGTCACAGGAAGTGTACCTGGGTACTGCAACCTGCCTCCCTTGCCTCTATGTCCAGAGTCACCCCTTCCTGCATCTCAGCCCACTAAAGCCACACTCTCAGCCCTCTGTCCCCATCCCTCCGCCTGCACGAGCACTGACCCACCCCTGGACACCCCCTTCCCCGTGTCCCTGCCATCTCCTCCCTGCCAGTGGACACTGGTCCCCCGCGGGGGAAGGGGCAGATGACCAAGAGCTAAATACCAAAGCGCAGAGAACATCACGAGGAGGGCCAAGGAGAGGAGTCAGGCAGGGGGAGTACCGGGGCAGCCCGGGCAGGTCATGTCCGGGACGAGGTCACCGCAGCCAACGCTCCCTTGCCCTCTACCCTCTGAGCAAACACGTGCAGACTTTACCCCTTTCCCAAGACACAAATAGAAACAGGTCACCTCACTGTTCACACTTTTTAAAAAATATTTATTTCCCTGGGGCCAGCACAAGGGCCCAGCTGGCTAATCCTCTACCTATAAGCGCCAGCATCCCGTGTGGGTGCCAGTTTGTGTCCCGGCAGCTCCATTTCCCATCCACCTCCCTGCCTGAGGCCTGGGGAAGCAGTCGAGGTTGGCCCAAAGCCTTGGGACCCTGCAACCGCGTTGGAGACCTGGAAGAAGTTCCTGGCTCCAGGCTTCGGATCAGCTCAGCTCTGGCCATTGTAGCCACTTAGGAAGTGAACCAGCAAGTGGATCTTTCTCTCTGTCTGTGCTTCACTCTGTAAATCTGTCTTTCCAATAAAAATAAATCTTAAGAAAAAGCAAGGAAGGAAGAAAGAAAACTGTTGGTAAGAGATGAGGGGTGGCCACTCACCTGAACAGTGGGCAGATGGAGGGACGGCACCTACCCTGCCCAGAGCGTAGGTGGAGTCAGGGCTGAGTCCTGGACAGGGTGAGGCAGGCCTGGGGTGTCACCCAGCCAGAGCTCTCAGTTCCTGCCCCAGTTTGGTCCCTGAGACCGAGGGGACCCTTACAGCACCTCATGCACCCCTTAAAATGCTGATTTCCGCTTTACTTCCTTTGCCTAGCCTTTCTCCCGGGTGTTGCAGTGGAGCCCGCTCACGTGGACAGCGGCTCAGCACAGCAGGCGGCCTGGCTTGACCCTTGCTGCGTGTGGGCAGTGGGGGAATCCCTCTACCCGGCTGAGCCGCGTCTCCTCATCTGTGAAGTAGGCCTTCTCTCGCCTCATGCCATGCGTTTGTTGGGAAGCCCAGAGCACCGGTGGGTAGGCAGCTTTGTTGCTGTGCACTGCAGGCCCTCTGTGAGCACAGCCGGCTGTGAGGACCTCATTCCAGCGCTTTCAGCCTCGGGTGTCCCTGAACCTCTGTCCTGGAGATGGCACCTGCGCCATTTTTATTTGCATGAGACAACTTGAGCACGCTGGGTCAGGCAGCAGGGGCACCTGGGAGAGCATGGAAGTTACCCCGGAGCTGGGAGGCACTGGGACGGGCTCACGACACCCAGGAGTACAGGGTGCATGGCGCTGGGTCAGGCAGCAGAGGACAAAGCGGCAGGGGAGGGCAGAGATGCCAGGGCTAAAGGTCCAGTTGAGGGGCAGGCTCACCGGTGCCCCCTGCTGGCCTAGCCAGCACCCAAAGGCACTGAGAACCGGTGGACACGTGCGGGATGGAGTCTGGCATAGGGGCAAAGCCTAAAGCTGCAGTGCAGCAGGCGGAGGAGGGCTGGCGCAGCAGGGAGGAGTGGAGAAGGCACCCAGACCACGCCACTGCCTACAGCAGGTTTTGGCTTCTGGAACACCAATGGCATTCTGTGACCCAGACCCAGGTGGGACACTGCCCTGGCTGGCCAGAGCAGGCACATCAGCTCTCCACGTTACCAACCTGTGGACATATTTCCTGATTTCTATTTCACACACACCTTCTCTCATTTCGCCCAGCCCTGCTGGGGACCCCTCCATGGCCGCTGTGCCCCGCGCAGGCCAATCCAACTCTATTTTTACTCCAGAATCACTTTCCATGGGTCTATTTTTACACCACTCCCCATCTTGAGTTTCTGTCACCCTGTGACCGGGCCCGGACTTCCTTCAAAGGCCAAGTGTGCCCTGAACAGCCTGGGACAGGGAGACCCACAGCACACCTGGGAGACACAGGAATGGGCACACCAGTGGGCAGGGCTGGGCTCACCAACCTCGACGAGGGGCAAGCCGTGGCAGCAGCTGCCCGACTGAGCGGCCAGACCCGCATGGCTCGTGTTCACGCTCCAGCTTTTGTTTTTCGTGAGTTTTTATCTGAGAGACAGAGTAGCCCTCACCCACCAGTCCCTGCCAAGTGTCAGGAATTCAATCCAGGGCTGCCACGCAGGGACCCAGATGGCAAGAAATAGAGACCCTGGAGCTAGTGCCCACACCCGGCCTCCACCCAGCTGTCCCCGACTCTGCCCCCAGGACCGCTGAAGACAACCTGCCCAATGAACTCGTGCAATTTCCTGCATCTTGCTCAGGGCAGGGGCGCAGGAAGCTCAGGAGTTTGCAGCCAGGGAATCTCCACTTGCAGGTGCTTCCCTTCAGCGCTCAGGGGTGGGCTCAGAGACCCACTGGCTAGCTCCACTCCAGCTTGTGGCTGCAGCTGTGTGGGCTCTGGGGCTACCCCCTCTCACCAATGCCTGCAATAAGTGCGCCCCCTCCAGAGTCAGAGCTGATGGGTCAGGCCCTGGCGGTTCACCCAGATAGCCCCATGCCCCAGGCACCACCCGCCACATCCCTCCCACTTAAACTAGCCTTCTCACCAGTCTGCAGCATAATGCGGAGGAACTATTTCCAAAGATTTTCATCCTAAAGGTATATGTTTTTCAAAATTTTTATTTTAATTGGAAAGGCAGATTTACACAGAGAGGAGAGGCAGAGAAAGATCTTCCATCCACTGGTTCACTTCCCAAGTGGCTGCAACGGCCGAAGCTGAGCCAACCTGAAGCCAGGAGCCAGGGCTTCCTTCAGGGGTCCTGCGCAGGTTCAGGGTCCCAAGGCTTTGGGCCGTCCTCCACTGCTTTCCCAGGCCACAGCAGGGAGCTGGATGGGAAGCAGAGTGCTCAAATGGGATGCTGGTGCATGCAAGGCAAGCATTTTAGCCACTGAGCCATTGTGTTGGGCTCCTAAAGCTACATTTTAGCAGTTTGAAACAAGCCTGAAGTTTCCAGAACTTGCCACCACCCATGCACTGCCTCATTTGTCTCTGAGTCCCATCACAGAACCAGGAGACAAAGGTGCTGCCCTTTTTTTTTTTTTTTCGTTTTTAAATTATACTTTTGACATTCTTTACATAGCTAATTAGGGTAAAAAGGTTCCAGGGCTACAGGAAAGTGGGTAAGACTATTATTTCCACATTGTTTCCTTCATGTATCTGAGGTAAAGGGGGATTTTAAGGGAGAAGCCCCACCCAGTCTCCCACCCACCCCAGGTCCCTGATGTGGGGCGTGCTCTGAAGGTCTTGCTCAAGTGATTCCGACAGTTCAACAGTTATGAATTGCTGCCAATCTCACCACCGCAGGCACAATGAGGTCTTGAAGAATCCACTGATGGACATAGTCCATCATAGAGTCTCCATTTACCCAGTATTTCGCTGCCAACACATAGCTGAGGTAGTTGACTGACTTGTTCCGTCCTCCATCTTTTCTTGGTTAGGGCTCTGAGTCCAGCAGTCTGATTGGGGAGATCTCCAAAGAGACTTTGTCTGAGGTGTTCCCAGACCAGATTCTTGTATGTACTAGCAAGTACAGGGCCCGGCACAGTCCATCGCCCCATCAGCTGGTGGTTGCAATTGCTGGGTCGGTTCTGTCTCCAGCACTGTCTTCCACATGAACCAATGGGTGTTGCAGTCCAGCCTGGTTCTGCCCAGCACACACTCAAAACTGCAGCCCTTATGTGCACACATGTCACTCATCTAGTCCGTGCGGAATCTGTCTTCAAAACCACCCACCTAACCACCCTCCCCTACACACCCTCCCCCTCACAGCCCCCCACACACCCTCCCCCCCCACACACACACCCTCCCCCCCCCCACTCTAACACCGTCACAGGAGTCTTTGGGACAGCACACATTCAGATCACTGCAGAGGCAGCCAGTGCAAAGGTCCTGGGGCAACACCAAGCATGGGGTGTCGGGTGTGGGGAAGGACCGCCAGCCAGAGCAGAATATGTGACAGCTGACAGGCTGGAGGTGTGACTGGCCAGCTCACCACGGAGAGCTCCTCCGGGTGAGACAGAGCCAACTTTGAAACTTGCTCAGGCGGCTCCGTCCTGGCCTGCACCTGTGCTTGCCTTGCATGGGCTTTCCTGCCAAATTGGCTCTCTGCAAGTTGAGACTACCCCCCAAACTGGCTGGTGGCACCTGGTGCTACAGTACAGTCTCCTCTTTGCTCTGAGCTCGGGGGCCCCCGCCCCCCACCACTCAGCTCAGCATGCAGTAGATGGAGGGTAAGGAGGGGGCATCTTCCATCTTGGACATGTCTAATGTTTCGCACTGCATTTGCCTCTGGTAGGAAATCCCACAAGCTGGGCAAGATACATCCTGCCTCCGAGGAGACCACCCTCCCCCCACTCTGTGACAACACCTCCTTCCAGGGGTCATCATGGCTGGATCATGTGGGGGGCGGCAGTCAGGGACTCCTCTGCTCCCTCTTGGTCCCCACCCCTGTGGCTACAGGACGACAGGGCCCCCCAACTCTCTTCTGGGGCAGGGGGACTGGAGGAGAAGCAGTTGGGCTGCTTAGCATGCAATAGCATGTCCCTTTCTTGGATGCAAAACCACCCAAAACCAGTTGAGCACCCCATCCTGAGAGGGGAGTGCTTCAAGTCCCAGATCTCACACTTCCTCTGTTTCCCACATTCTGCATGCCGACCCACCCACCTGTCCAAGGTACCTTGCCCAGCTTAGCCAGGCCATGCGGTGCCCGGCTTTAACCAGGCCATGCGGTGCCCAGCTTTAACCAGGCCATGTGGTGCCCAGCTTTAACCAGGCCATGTGGTGCCCAGCTTAACCAGGCGCTTAACCAGGCCAGGTGGTGCCCAGGTTAACCAGGCCATGTGGTGCCCAGCAAATACCATACTTGGAGGAGAGTCCAGAGTACTGCAGCCCAAGCACATCATTAAAGGAGAGACGTGTGTTCCCCTAGAAAGAAAGAAACAAACAAAAACCACCTTTGCCTCCAGAACTCCTGAGCCTGCTCAGCTCGGGAAGGCTCTGCAGGTGGATATGCTGCACCTGGAGCTGGGGCGGCCAGCTCTTCTGCCACATCCCCACACCTGCTCCTCCCAGGGATCCAGCAGAGTCAGCGGCAGGCGATATTCAAACCCAGGCCTCCAGATCCCCAGTTCAGGGCCCAGCAGCCATCTCGAGCACTGGACGAGGAGTCAGCAGACCTGGGGTTTGCACCTCTGCTGATGGAACTTGCTATTTCGACTCCAAGAGCCAAGGAAGCACAGCAGCACTGACCAATGCCCGCACACACCCGGCCAGGACCAAGGATGGGGGGAGGGGGAGGGCATCGGGAAAAGTTCCCAGAGGGGCTACTGCTGTGGCACAGCACCCGAGGCCGTCCTCTGTAGTGCCACATGCCATGTGGGCGCTAGGTGGAGACCCCGGCTGCTCCACTTCCGACCCAGCTTCCTCACAACAGGGAAAGCAGCAGAGGATGGCTCAAGTGGGCTCGGGCACCACGTGGGAGAGAAGCTCTTGGCCCAGCCCTGGTCGTTGTGGCCGTGTAGGCAGTGACCCAGTGGGTAAGATCTCTCTTTGTAATTCTGCCTTTCAAATAAATAAGTATATTTTTAAAAGAGAAAAAGTTCTCGCAGTTAAAAAAAAAAGTTTATTGAGCCATTTGAAGGGCAAGGGCTCCCCGCCAAAGCGCACAACCAGCAGGCACTCGGTCTGGGTCTCCCACGCGGCTGCAGGGGCCGAGCACCTGGTCACCTTCCGCTGCCTGCCCGGGGGCAGGGACAAGAGAGGGAAGCGTGGGAGTGGAAGCCCACACGGTGAACCACGCAGCCTCAGAAGCGCCCCGAACCTTCCCACACCCCCGCTTCACCGCAAGAGGCCCGCGCCCCGGGCCATCCCCATTTCGGGAATGGGGGCTACTACTAAGGAAGTCATTGGGGTGCCGGCCAGGCCCCAGACCCAAGTGGGACCCTCGCCAAGGCCAGGGCAGGGGCGCTGTCACTGGCGCGGGCCACCCTGGGCCTGGGCTCTGCGCCTCGCCTTCTGCGCCCCTGCTCAAGGCTACACGGGCGCCTTCGCCGCCCAGCGTACAGCCCACGCCCGCCCCTAGGGCCACGCCAAGTCTTTTCCACCTGGGGAACCTCACGCGCGATCCTGCAGTCTGCCGTAAGGTGCCGCAGTGCAGCCAGGGCACTCCGCCCGACTTCAAACTTCGCTCCTCTCCACCCAAAACCCAGCCCCGGAAGCGCTCCGGCCCGCAGGAACTCCGCACGTCTCGTTCTGCAGGCGAGGACGCCGAGGTGGGCGGCAGCGCTGGGATGCGAACCCAGGGCCCGGCCCGGCACCGCCGAAACCCCTCTCGGCTCAGCGTGGCGCGGCCGGGCGCACCAAGCGCACTCTTTGTCTGCAGCGCCCGCGGCCCCCCGCCGCCCCCGCGCCCCGCCACCGGGCGCGCGCAGCCAATGGGGCGCGGCGGCGGCGGCGGGGCCGGGGTGTTGTCCGCGCCCGGCGCGCCCATTGGCCTCGCTCTGCGCCCTCGGAGCCGCGCCGCCGGCCGGCGGGGAGGGACCGAGGGCGGCCGGCGCGGGGCCAGCGAGCGAGCCGGGAGTCGTGCGCCAGGAGTCGTGTGCCAGCAGCCGCCGCCGCACCCCGAGCCTCGTTTGCCCTGGGAGTGGGCTTCGACGGCCACCGGCTGGGCGCAGAGGCTGCGGGAGGAGGAGGAGGACCTGGAGGAAGGCGGCCTCGCCCGGGAGCCCGGCCATGGCGCTCGACTTCTTAGCTGGATGCGCCGGGGGTAAGGTGGCAGCGCTCCGGGGCGGGGGCAGGCGGGGGCGCCGAGCACCTGCGAGCGTGGCTCGGTGGGGGCGGCTACGCCAGGCGCGGAGCAGGTGCCTCCGGAGTCCCTGGGGGCCGGCCCTGCGGCTGGGTCGAGACGGGTCCCTGGAGCAGCTCCTTCTCGCTTCCCAGGGCACGGTGCTCAACTCGCGCCCACCCTAGGGAAAGAAATCCACTCCCCTGCAGCTGTCGGGCGGGGCCGGAGAGCTCTGGGCGCTGAGAGGCACTGCCTGACCCTTGTGCTAAGTCACTCCTTTGCCAGGGGGTCTGTGGAGGGCGGAGGGGGTCGCCCGGAAAGGCAGGGATGGGGCGAGCGGGCACGGGCTGTTCGGCCTTGAGTTTCCTTGTCTTTACCTTGAGCTCAACAGGTTTTAGTCAGGAACCCGGCTTAGCAGCCGCTGTCAACCCCTTTGGGTCAGGCTGATGGGCGGGGCTCATAGTGCCCCAGGATAGTCTTTGGGGGAAAGCGATGCGGGGGTTGGTGGGATGGAGAACTTCCCAGCCCAGAGGCGGTGGGTGGGCGGCTCACCAGGTGCTGGGGAGGCCGGGGCGTGGGCTCAGGGTGCCTCCAGAGCCCTGTACCCTCAGCCCAGAAGCCCAGCCGGTTACCTGGTCCAGCCTCCTGAGGTGAGACGGGACCGGACACTTGCTACTGGAGGAGTGAGCTTGTTGTCTGTTCTTTACCTTCCCGCCCTCCACCCCCGTCCCGGTGCCTTGGCATCCTTTGTCCGACCTCTCTCTGCCCCACCCCTCCCCTGGCTGTCTTCTGAGTTCCAGTTGAGCTTGTTTTCATTTCCTCATGCGAGACAGAACACGCAGGATTTGTCTTTCTGTATTTTTAACAAATATTTATTTGAAAGTTGCAGCGCCCGGTGCAGTGGCCTAGGAGCTAAAGTGCTTGCTTTGCATGCCCAGGATCCCATAGGGCACCAGTTCTAACCCAGCTGCTCCACTTCCCATCCAGCTCCCTGCTTGTGGCCTGGGAAAGCAGTGAAGGAGGGGTCAAGGACGGCTCAAAGCCTTGGGACCCTGCACCCACTTGGGAGACCCGGTAAAAGCTACTGGCTCCTGGCTCTGAATCAGCTCAGCTCCGGCCATTGTGGCCATTTGGGGAGTGAGTGAACTAGTGGATGGAAGATTTTTCTCTGTCTCGCCTTCACTCTGTAAATCTGCCTTTCCAATAAAAATGAAACAAATATTTAGAAAAAGGAAAAAGAAGAGTCGCACACAGACATGATGTTCCATGCACTGGTTGCACGGTTCTTATCCCCACAGAGCCACAGTGGCCAGCACTGGCCAGGCCTGCGCTGGGAGCTTCCTTCTGGTCTCCTGTGTGTGGGTGGGGGCAGGGGCTCAAGTGCTCGGCCCCTCCTTCACTGCTCTCCCAGGCGCGTTAGCAGGGAGCAGGATTGGAAGTGGAGCAGCTGGGACAGGAACCAGCGTCCAGATAGGATGCTGGCACTGCAAGCTTTGGCCCCTAGGCCACAGCTCCGGTTTTGTCTTTTTGTAGCTGACAGCACATAATGTCCTTCAGTTCTATCCACTTCCCTGAGAGTGACAGGGTATCGCTCTTTCTCTCTCTGGCTAAACAATATCCCATTGTGTATATGAATGCTTTCCACCGTTCATCTGTTCTGGGCACCAGATGGAGTCCAATGAAAGGACACTGTGTGTCTACACGTGACGTTGTGTGTCTGCATGGGAGAGGTGAGCAGCACAGCTGGGGAGGATCAGCTCAGAGAGACCCCAACCTCTCCACCCCCACCCCTCACCAGGGTCCAGTCCTTGCTCTAGGCTGTTGCTTGGGCAGTACCCAGCTCCCAGAGACCACACCCATACTCCCTGTTGGGCAACTCCTGTCCCCAGGTGGGGGCCATGGCAGTTGCCTGAAGTCCTCTTCAAACCCTGGTCCAGCACCTGCTACTGTGCCTGTGGAGACAGCGGGATGATGGCCCAAACGCTGGACCACCATGTGCAACACCCAGATGGATTCCTGGTTCCTGACTTTGTCAGGGCAGCTGGGACTTGAACCCAGCGCTCTGAATTGCTGGTGTCACAGGTGGCATGTTAACACACTGCACCACATGGAGTGCCCCATTTATGCATCAGCTGGTGAGAGTGAGTGAGCTGAGCGAGCAGGCGCCCTGCAGTGGCCCAGGCTGGTGGGGACAATGGCAGCAGCCTGGATTCCAGTGCAGGTCTCCTACATGGTGGCATGGAGCTGAGGTCAGGAGCCAGGGCCAGAAACAACCCTGATTCCCAGATGGGGCCAGAGCTGTCTTCCCCAGCAGCTTTGGGGCCAGGGCAATAGGCAGGATGCAGTGCATTCTGGAAGGGCAGATGGTGGTGTGCCCTGGGTGTCAGCTGAGGGCTCCAGGGCCAGCAGGGTAGGGCTCCAGGGCCGGCAGGGCAGGGCTCCAGGGCCGGCAGGGCAGGGGTCAAGCCTACTCCGCCACCTCCTCACTGCATTTTTTTTTTTAAGATTTATTTATTTTTATTTGGAAAGTCAGATATACAGAGAGGAGGAGAGACAAAGAGGAAGCTCTTCCATCTGATGGTACACTCCCCAAGTAGCTGCAAAAGCTGGAGCTGAGCCAATCCGAAGCCAGGAGCCAGGAGCTTCTTTTGGGTCTCCCATGTGGGTGCAGGGTCTCAAGGCTTTGGCCCATCCTTGACTGCTTTTCCAGGCCACAGGCAGGGAGCTGGACGGGAAGCAGGACTACCAGGATTAGATCTGGCATCCATATGGGACGCTGTTACATTCAAGGCGAGGACTTTAATCTCTCCACTATCGCTCCAGGCCCCTGGCTGTTCTTTTCTCTCTGGTTTCCTCATCTGGTAAATGGGTTTGTTGTCCCTTTACACAGAACTAAGAGCAGGGAACAACAGGTTGTATTGTCTCTTAACCTGCTGGCCGCTGCCTGCAGCAGCAGGGAGCTGGTTTGAGTCTGACTGCGTTTCCTTTTTTTTTTTAAGGTTTACTTTGTTTATTTGAAAGGCAGAATTGCACACACTGAGGGAGGAGAGAGCTTTCGCCTGTTGATTCACTCCCCAACGGCAGCAGTGACTGGGGCTGCGTCAGATCGGAGCCAGCTGCTTCTTCTGAGTTTCTCACAGGGTCCCCAGTGCTTGGGCCATCTTCTGCTGCTTTCCCAGGCCATTAGCAGCAAGCTGCATCAGAAGCTGGGACTCGAACCAGCATCCTTGCACTCCTGGGCTGCTATTGCAGGCAGCAGTTTTACCCTCTGCAGCAAAGTGCCAGCCACAGGCTTGCCCCATTGCAGCTCCAGCTCCCTGTTCATAGTCCGGGAAAGCAGCAGAAGGTGGTCAGTGTGGACCCCGGCACCCACCCGGGGGACCTGCATGGAATTTCTGACTCCTGGCTTCTGCCTGGTACAGCTCCAGCTGCAGCCATTTGGGGAACAAAGCAGTGGATGGAAGAGCTCTCTCTCTTGCCCTTTCTGTAGCTCTACCTTTCAAACAAATAAATAAATCTTATTTAAATTATCCACAATTGTCACTGCATTGAAGGTGGATTTGAACAGATGGACACATCGTAGTTTTGGTTGGTACCCTGAGAGTTACATGACCTCACAAAGACTCCGTTTGTCTTGTGGGATGGGGTGACGTGGCTGTCTCACTCACGGGGCAGTGGGGAGGCTTGTGGTTGGACCCCAGAGCCAGCGCCCGGTGTTTGGAAGCAGGTGGTCACTGCAGAGAGGATGTGCGCAGCCCCCGGGGGCCAGTGGCTGGTAGCAGCCTGGAATGGTCCATGGCAGGGAGCAGCAGCTGGGAGAGGAGTGGACAGATGCTGGCTTCTGGGGGGAGCCCTCCCCTCCTCTCTCCTCCCTCCCCTCCCCTCCCCTCCCCTTTCCCTCCCCCTCCCCTCCCTCTGTGTCTCCTCATGCACGCAGCCCAGTGTATGTGATGGTGCGGGCGTGCGATGATGGGTATGCCAGGGCCCAAGGGCTGCATGGTCACGGTCCCCTTTCTGCCTGCAGGTGTAGCAGGCGTGCTGGTGGGACACCCATTTGACACGGTCAAGGTGAGTTTCTGGTCACCCCTTTATCCTCAGGCCCCCTCCCATGCAGGTGTTGACCTGTGGGCGTGGCCAACAAGGTCTCCAGGGTGCCCTGGTGGACAGCCTCCTTCCCACTTACTGAGCTGACCCTTCTTTGTGGCTTTGTCCCCATGTTTTTTCAGCTGGGCCAGAATTGAACGTCAAGGTCATGGCCACAAGCACTCTTGGGGGTAGCCAGCTGGGACTGGGGTGTGAAAGGGTGTGTGTCCCTTCCCAAGAATTGCCTCAAGCATTGACGTGAGAGAAGTATTCAGAGGGTACATTGTATACTTGGTCTTCCCAGAGCCCTGACCGAGGCACCTGTGCCCAGGTGTCCCTGGCTGGACACCTGAGGAAGGGCTGTGGCCTTGCATGCCCCACCCCCAGGACTCAGTCTCCCTGGGGACAGAAGCCAAGGCAGGAGGCCACCATGAACTTGGCGCCTGTTTCCTGTGGCAAGGGCAAAGCTGGGGACAGACACGTCCCCCTGAGCGGGGCTGGTGGAATTGGACTTCCCGTTACCTCCTTTTACCATGAACCCAGGTGCTGGCTGGCAGTGAGACTTGCTGGCGGAGGGCTGGGTGGCCACGTGACCTCAGGCCTGGGCCCAGATATTGTCAGAAAAGCTGCGGAGTGGAAGGATGGGGTCACTAAGGCAAAACACACCACCTAGAAAATGGAATTCAAAGACCTTTTTATTTTGTTGTAAAAAATATTTCTGAATTCCATGCATATGTATTTTTTAAAGATTTATTTATTTTTATTGCAAAGGCAGATATACAGAGAAGAGGAGAGACAGAGAGGAAGATCTTCCGTCCAATGATTCACTCTGCAAGTGAGTGTAATAGCTGGTGCTGCACCGATCCGAAGCCGGGAGCCAGGAGCTTCTTCTGGGTCTCCCACACGGGTGCAGGGTCCTAAGGCTTTGGGCCGTCCTTGACTGTGTGGAAGACCCAGACGAGCCTCCTGGCTTTGGCTCACAATTGACGGCCACTTGGGGAGTGAACCAGTAGACTGAAGATCTGTCCCTCCTTCTTTCTACAAATGTGACTTTTTAAGAAAAATGAGTAAATCTTACAAAAAAAAAAGCTTAAAAAAAAGATTTTATTTTGTCGCAAAGTCGGAGTTACAGAGAGAAAGAGATGAAAAAAAGTATTTCATCAGCTGGTTCACTCCGCAAATGGCTGCAATGGCCGGAGCTGAGCAGACCTGAAGCCAGGAGCCAGGAGCTTCCTCAGGGTCTCCCACATGCATGTAAGGTCCCAAGGCTTTGGGCCGTCCTCCACTGCTTTCCCAGGCCACAGGCAGGGAGCTGGATGGGAAGTGGAACAGCGGGATACAAATCCCATATGGGATCCCAGGCATACAAGGCAAGGACTTTAGCCTCTAGGCTACCACCCTGGACCCTGACGATCCTTTTTGTGCCTGGATTTCAAAAAGTTTTTGTATTGGTTTTGGTTTTGTGTTTGCACCAGAAGAAGCTTTCCTTTGTAAGTCTCTTTTTCATGAGCTGTTGGTAGCAGGGTCCACATTGAGTCAGGTGCCCACCCTGGAAAGTAACATGTGGAGAGGAGGCCGAGTGCCAGGCCTTCTTGGTAAGCAGGGATGAGTTCCAGATGGCACCCCGGCAGGAGCTGGCCCCTCGGCGGTACTGCTCTGGCCGGCTGCCCGCCAGCCGCAACCACTCTGGCCAGCCTGGCAGTGCACTTGCCTCACTGCTCAGGCCTGGCCTGCCCCTGGGCAGCACGCCTGTGGGTCAGGCTCGGGGCTACAGAGCTTCTGAGTCAGGTGTCCCAACCCCTGTACCCTCTGGGCCTGTGCCCCATCTCTACCTCCCTGGTACCTTTTAGGGTGTACCTTGGGGAAAGCTGTGTGGGGCCCTCTGCCTCTCCACCGTTACTCTCCAAGATCAGCCTTGGGCAAACCTGCCTGACCAGCCCGGGCTGCCTGTCTGCACCCATTCCTGCCCAGCCCTGTCCAGCTCCCCCGCTGAGCTGTGCCGCCCACTGGGCTTCTCACCAAGCTGCCTCAGGGCCTGTCCTGGCCCTTGGCCATTGTCGAAGGCAACAGGGCAGAGTGGAAAAGCCCCTGCCACGTTTCGTTGCTGCAGACCAATCAGCTATCTTTTTTTGCCCTACCTGAAGATACCCCTCCTCCCACCAGAGGCATATGCGTTTTTAATACATGTAGCTTTTTCCTTAAAAGATTGAGTTGGCTTTCCATTCTGCAAGTAACACAGGCTAGTGCAAGCCTTCCTCGACCCCTGGCCAGGATCCCACTGCAAATGGCCCTGCCCCCACACAGCTCCTGAGCCTGCCTGCTGCCTGGTGTGGGGTCTCTCCGCAGGACTGGAATTGTCCTGTGGGATACGTTAGGGGTTCCCGTGCTCAGGGCCCATCCATGCTGGCCTGTAGCTAGTGGGACACCCGCACTTAAGTCCTTCTGGGTCCCGGCACCTGGAGAAGTCCCCGATTCGGCCAAACTCTGAGCCTCAGCCCGTCGTCCTGGGCACGGCCAGCTGCCCCCTGCGTTTGTGAGTAAATGTGGCTCTGGATCTGTTCTCACCAGACACGTGGTGGGTGATTGGGGCCCCACCCCATCCCCAGCGGCTGTGCCCATCCCCAGGGCAGGGGAGGGCTGGGAGGAGGGGCTGGCGCCTGGCGTGATGTTGACATTTTATGCTGCTTTAACTGCCTTTACTTTCCGAGCTAGGGGCTGCCTCCGGCATAGCCAAAGTGTAACTGCCAGGAGAGCGCTAGTAAGTAAAGCCCAGGTGAACCTCTGGACCCCGCTCTCACTCCTGGGGTGGGGGCTTGCACAGAGGACCACCTGTTTTCCCAAGGGTGGGCCCGCCGGTCCTGCCAGTCCTGCAGGAGCACCAAAACCTCTGCTCCAGGCTTGGCGGGACTTGAGCCACTCGACCACAGTCACACCCAGGCCACAAGGGCATCTCCCAGACCGCAAGGTCACACACAGTGGAATGCGGACAGGCCGCTGCCAGCCTGCTTCTGCCAGCGCAGCCCTCGGAGTGCCAGGGCTGGGAGCTCCAGGGGCAACAGGCACCTTGGAATGCCACAGGGAGACAGAAAACGTGTCATAGCTGAGCCCCAGCTCACGGTGCTCGGGGTTCACGTTCCACAGTGATTTTGCTTTCCTCCACTGAAAATGCACCCCAGGCTGCTAGGTGCAAGGGGCGTGCCTGAGCCAGGGCTGCCAGCCAGAGGTGGCCAGGTGCACATGGCACTCTGTCCCAGAGTTGTCAGTGCACTCAGCAGAAGGAGGGTCTCTCCCCATAGGGTCTCTCCCTTGCCAGCATGGCCACTCATGTCCTTGGAGGCCTGGGGTAGCTAAGGTCACACCATAGTATGCCCGTGAGCCTCGGTCTTCCCTCCTGGGAAATGGCACCTACTTGGGCACGTGTTTCAGATATCCAGAGCGGACATGTGTGGACCCTCCCCCCATCATCTTCTTCCTGTTCTACCCATGTTATGGGGCGCACCGTATTAAAGACCACTGAAACCAGGTTAGAATCTGGGGAGTCTTTATTAGCCAGCGGTGAAGTGCCCCACTCAGAACAGGTCTAAGGGAAACAGCCCTGAGCTGTTGGGGCACTGAGCTTTTATATTTTATTTTATTTTTTAATTTTTTAAAAAGATTTATTTATTTTTGTTGCAAAGTCAGATGTACAGAGAGGAGGAGAGACAGAGAGGAAGATCTTCTGTCCGGTGATTCACTCCCCAAGTGGCCGTAACGGTGCTGCGCTGGTCCAAAGCCAGGAGCCTGAAACTTCCTCCAGGTCTCCCACACGGGTGCAGGGTCCTAAGGCTTTGGGCTGTCCTCGACTGCTTTTCCAGGCCACAAGCAGGGAGCTGGATGGGAAGTGGAGCTGCCGGGATTAGAACCAGCACTCGTATGGGATCCCGGTGCGTTCAAGCCGAGAACTTTAGCTCCTAGGCCACACCGCCGGGCCCTGGCAGGGAGCTTTTAAAGGAATAAAACCCACACCCTGGTGTCCTTTATGGTGGCGAGCAAGCAAGGTTACAGATGCTGCAAGAAGCAGTTAGAACCAAGATGAGCAGTTCTGTAGTTACAGTTTAACTTCTTGGAAATTGGTTCCACTTTTCCTAGTTCTCAGTTCCCAGGATCTTGTTCCTCCTTACGGGAGGCGCGTCGGTCTGACCCGACTGCTGACCTGTGTGTACACTCCCCCTGTCACGCCCAGCAGACGGCGCAGGTTCCGTGGCCCTGGCTGCAACAGTGGTCATCTTTTTTTTTTTTTTTTTAATATTTTTTATTTGAAAGGCAGAGTTAGAGAGAGAGGACGGGGAGAGAAACACCCAGACCCGCTGGTTCACTCCCCAAGTGGCCGCACGGCCAGGGCGAGGCCAGGCAGAAGCGGGAGCTGGCAGCCTCTCCCAGGTCTCCCATGTGTGTTGTCCAACCTCCACTGCTTTTTCAGGTACACCAGTAGAAAATGATTAGAAGTGGAGCAGCCAGGAAACTAATGTCCATATGGGATGCTGGGGGGTTGCAGACAGAGGTTTAACTTGCTGTGCCACAGTGCTGGCCCCAACAGTGGTCATTTCTGGAGGAGTGACTTGACTGGCTGCAACCAAGCTCAGAATGCATTGCCCCCACTGCAGCCTCCATGGCTGTGCAGGACAGAGCGAGCACCATGGTGTGTACCAGGTGCTACGCAGCCTGTCCGGTTCCCAGGCGGCTGTGAGCTCTGTGATGTGTCAGGACTGCTGTCCCCACAGGGAAGAGCCCTGGTGCCACGGGGCGGGCATGCAGAGGTTGTTACGGCAGCAGGAGGATAACAGGCGTCAGACTCGGTGGGTTGGTCCTGGGAGACAGGTCAGGTCCGCAGAGCACACGGTACAGTGGTGGTGAGAACGGGAAAATCAACCCAACTTCCTGAGACCTTGGGGACCCCACCCCATGTCCAGCTGGCTGCCCCGTAGCCCCAGCCCGCAGTCCCAGGAGCCTCTGGGAGCTCCAAGCTGCCTTCCTGATTCTGCCCGCCCACCAGGAAGGTCCTGAGAGCCGGGCAGGGGAGCTGGGCACCGGGGCTTGCCGGCCTCCCACTGGGCTCCATCCCCGCAGGTGCGGCTCCAGGTGCAGAGTGTGGAGAGACCCCAGTACCACAGCACCATGCACTGTTTCCAGACCATCATCAAGCAGGAGAGTGTGAGTGGTGGGAGGGGCGGGGCTCGGGACTGGCTCTGGGTGTCCCCAACCACCCAGAAGTTGTGGGGTGGGAAGGGGAGAGGGAATGCCAGGCCTCTTAGTCAAATCCCCTGGGATGGACCGGGCACTGACAGCCTTTCGGTGCCCTACAGGTACTGGGCCTCTACAAGGGCCTGGGCTCGCCCCTCATGGGGCTCACCTTCATCAATGCGCTCGTGTTCGGCGTGCAGGGCAACACGCTGCGGGCGCTGGGCTGCGACACACCGCTGAACCAGTTCCTGGCTGGCGCAGCAGCTGGCGCCATCCAGTGTGTCGTCTGCTGTCCTATGGAGCTGGCCAAGACGCGGTTGCAGCTGCAGGACACGGGCCCAGCCCGCACCTACAAGGGTTCGCTGGACTGCCTGGCACAGATCTATCGGCGCGAGGGCCTGCGCGGGGTCAACCGGGGCATGTTGTCCACGCTGCTGCGCGAGACACCCAGCTTCGGCGTCTACTTCTTCACCTATGACGTGCTCACACACGCGCTTGACTGCGAGCCCGGAGCGCCACTGCTGGTACCCAAGCTGTTGCTGGCCGGCGGCACGGCTGGTATCACCTCCTGGCTCTCCACCTACCCCATGGACGTGATCAAGTCACGGCTACAGGCTGACGGTCTGCGGGGCGCCCCACGCTACCGTGGCATTGTGGACTGCGCTTGCCAGAGCTACCAGGAGGAGGGCTGGCGCGTGTTCACACGGGGCCTGACCTCCACGCTTCTGCGTGCCTTCCCCGTCAATGCCGCCACCTTTGCCACCGTCACTGTGGTACTCACCTATGTGCGGGGCCCTGAGGCCACCCCCGCAGCGCCCACCCTGGCCCATCCCTCCAGCCTGTGATTCCCCTAGCTGTGGGCATCGCCTCTGGCTGTGGGCATTACCTCCGTGGGACTGGGAATGGCAGCAGAGTGACCGTGGCAGGCAGCATCACTCCACATCTGCCGGTGCTGGCTTTCTCGGCTGTGACATGGGGCCACTGGTGGCCACTTGGTAGCATCAGGAAGTCAGTGTGGTGCTGGGAAAGCCCAGCCATGTGCCTCTGCCTGTCTCCCACTGCTGACCCGGCCTGCAGGCTGGCTCCCTGGACTTGGATGGCCTGCTGGTGGCTTCCCCCAGGCACTTGTCAGCCCCATCCCTAATTGGGGACGAGGGGCAGCTTCGGTGCCTCCTGGTGTTACAGAAGTGGCTCTTCTAGCTGTCTGAGCCTAGAGGTGTCTTGGGCCCCCCCAGGAAGTCCTCCACATTTCATCAGCCCAGAGATTTGAGGCTACACTGTCATTCAGATGTGCCCAGGGACGTCCCGCCACGTCCACATGGGGCTGTGGAGCTGTGGCTGGCCCAGCAGCACCACCTTCCACACAGGCAGAGAGCTCAGCAGGAAAGAGTGTGGGCTTTACCTCCCTGGGGCTGGGGCAGCACAGGAAGGCCCCCCAGAAGCCACAAGTTCAGTTCCTATCGCCACCAGTCTTCGTGTTGCCCAAGTCTCCACGTGGCAGGCCAGTGAATGCTGTTACGTGATGTGCTCTCACTGTTGTTCAGGAACCACAGAGGGAATAAAGCCCGTGTTGGTTTTGTAGAAGACTGAGGCCTCTCTGTGGGAAATGGGGGTCAGAGGCTGCAAGCGAGTACTTGGGTCCCGAGGCCAGCGTGGCCTTGTGACCTGGGACAGGGTTCCAGAGGGCCCAGTGAGCCTTGGTTTGCTCATCAGCAGCTGTGCTGGCACGGGCAGCAGCAGCAAATGAGGCAAAGCTCACCTGTGTCCAGCAGAGTCTGTCCTGGAGGTGAGGACCAGGACGCGGACCCAGCTCCTGGGACCCCCAGGGTTTGTTGCCACCATGTCGGTCAGCAAGGCCTTCCCGAGCTTTGCCAAGTGGGGCAAGCCCTGCTCCGTCTCCTGGAGTTGGGCCTGGAAGGGCTTCCTTCCCACTCCCAGCCAAGGAGCTCCAGCTGCCGGTGGGGGCAGGGAGGGGGCTGCCCTTGTCCATGCTGACTTGGCCCAGCCTCCTGCAGTTCCTAGGGACTGGCTCCCAGGCCTCGCACTTCTCTGTCTCTCAAAAACGCAGAGCCTGCTGGTACTTGGTACAACAGTTGACACGCTCCCTGGGGCATCTGCATTCAAAGCAGAGTGCCTGGGTTCGAATCTCAGCTTCACTTCCAATCTCACCTTGCTAATACGCACTCTGGGAGGCAGCAGATGGTCCAAGTCCTTGGGTCCCTGACGCCCACATGGGAAATGCAGATTGGGTTCTGAGTTCCTAGCTTTGGCCTGGCCCAGCCCTGGATACTTCAGGTTGTCCACAAGTGAACCAGCAAATGGACGATGTGTGTACCTTTGAAATAAAAACAAAAACTGGAGGGCCACTGTTGTGGCAAGCTGCTGTTTGCAATGGCCTCCTCTCCTAGCAGTGCTGACTCGAGTCCTCCTGACTTGTCTGCCTGTCATCCAGCGTCCTGAGGCTGCACCGGGGAGGCAGTGTGTGTGGGTTTCCGCTGCCGCACAGCAGACTGGATCGAGTTCCTGTCTCCTGGCTTCTGCTGGCCAGGCCCTGGTTATTGTAGCCATGTATGGAGTGATTCAGCAGATGGAAGATCTGTTTCCCTCTCTGCCTATCAGATCAACTAATGAATTAAAACCATGACAGCACTCTCCACGGAGTGCCCAGAGGTGACCTTGGACAGACCTCTCACCCCTCTCGGCCTGGGTGGTACCCGTGGCCAGGCCCAGTCACCCTGGATTTCCGCAGGAAGGACTCAGCGGAACCCCAGAAGTTCGTTTGGCCTTGCTCCCACTGGGGCTGCCCCAGGTGCTCCTTCGCGTCCTGTGTAGAGCAGATGGAAAGCCAGCCCTTCAGAGGCACGGAGCTGGATCACAGAGCCACTTGAGTTCTGCAGTGCCCGGCTCAGGCTGCACATGGCAGCACAGCTGGCCATGGCCGAGTCCCCATCAACCCCAAGAGCTGACCATTCAGCCACAGGAACAGCTGGGGTGCTGGTAGTGGGGATGAACTTAAGCCATTTTCCCTCTGATTTGACGACGCTCAGAGGCAGCAGACAGCAGAGGGGGACCTCGGGCCCAGCTGCGCTGTGCACAGGTAGTCCTTCTGGCCGTCCTGCCCCACTCTGGCCTACCCGTGTCACCAAGCACCTCAGCTTCCTGGGTGCGGCCTGAGCATGCCCCAGCACACAGGACAGCCACCTCCCAGTGGGCACTAACTCTTCTGTTGCAAGTTTCCTTTGCTCAGTGGTGATCTTGGAGATGGCGCTGGTTTCAGGGGCTGTGACATGCCACAAAGCACGAGGCCGCGGCCGCTCCAGGGGATAAACATCCAGGCTCTGGCAGCGGTCCACGGTGCCACCTGGGCACTGCCTCTGTCTTTATATGAAAGAGTTACAGAGAGACAGACAGTGAGACGTCTTCCATCTGCTGGCTCACCTCCCAAGTGGCCACACCAGCCAGGACTGGGTCAAGCAGAAGCCAGGAGCCAGGAGTTCCTACCGGGTCTTCCACATGTGTCTTCCTCTACTGCTTTTCCCAGCTGCCTAAGCAGGGAGCTGGATTGGAAATGGAGCAACCAGGACTTGAACTGGCACCCACATGGAATGCTCACATCACAGACGGCAGCTTTACCTGCTGGGCCACAGCAAGTGCCCTGGTCTACACAGCCCATTCCTGAGTGCCTGGGTCTCCATATCTTCCTTTATTTTTTAAAACTCAAGATGATCTTACCGAAGGGCACAGAGAAGCAGAGATCTTCCATCTGCTGCTTCATTCCTAAGATGCTCGCAATGGTGGGGCTGGCCAGGCTGAACCTAGGGCCCAGAATTCTCTCCAGGTCTCCCAGGTGGGCGACAGACACCCCAGCACTTGGCTCATCCTCCGCTACCTTCCCAGACATGTTAGGAAGGAGCCGTATGTGAAGTCAGAGCAGGCAGGCCCAGATGCCGACCTGCCCCATCTGCCTTTCTTTTCCAACTTGCTCTGGGCATCAGGGCCTAGATTCTAACAGCTTCTAGAATCCCTTACAGCTAGGGGCAGCCAGTGCTCATGCTAGACCTGCTCACCCAGAGGAACGCAGAGGCCAGAGGCTGGGCTCGGAAGAACTGTGTTAAGTCACAGCTGCACGTGAGCCTGTCCCCTGACCTCTGACCCTGCCCTCATCCCACTGAAATGGGGACAGGATGCCCGGAGGAGCAGCCAGATAGCCCGTGGTCTGCGTGAGCTGCAGGCCAGCCTTGCCACAGGGAGCTTCTCCCGTCCCAGCAGCATCAGGCCGAGGTGGGAGCCCTGGGAAGTTAGATGAGGCAGCTGGGCATGAGCGGCTGCCTCAAAGGGCCGATGGATGGGGACACTGCAGGAATGGGCTCTCAGAGGCGGGGTTTGCCAAGGGCGGAGGCCGGAGCTAGACCCCCTCCCCACCCCTTTTGGGACAGGGCTCTTGGTGGGTGGGGCCTCAGGCTCACAGAAGGGAGCTCTGGGCAACTTGGGGACAACTAGTCAGCCCTGCGCACCACGGCCATCCCAGCCAGGAAGGTGGCACGCACAGCAGGTGTTTGTCAGGACCAGACTTGCACCCCCAGCTCATGTGCCCACAAGACCCCCTGGGTAGCCGACTGGGCTGTGAGTGACACACCTGGAGGGGCAGTCTGAGCACCAGAAGGAGGGACCTCGGGTGGCCTGCGGACAAGAGACGTGGGGCTGGCTGTTAGTGTGCCCAGCCTCACTCCCCTCGGCAGGGACCTCCCAGGTGTCCAGCCCCGCCCTGCTCCCGCAGGCCAGCTGACTCCTGAGGGCAGCCAGCAGCTCTCCAGTTTGGAGGAGGGATCAAGTTTGTGACTCAGCTGGGGGGCGGGGAGCCTAAGGGGATTGTTCAGTGAGTGAATGCATGCATGAGCAGGGGGCAGGCTCCCCAGGCAAGAACTGGGCAGACCAGCCCCGCAGGAGTGTGTGTTGGGGTGTTGGGGGGACACAGATGAAGGGGTCCAGGGAAGGCACAGGGCGGGGTCAGGACTGACCAAGTGCACCCTGAGGTTGGAGGAGGGCGGTGGGAGAGGGAGCGCAGCCCCAACTTGGAGGCCCTGCTTCTCCCAGGACGGCCCTCATCTCCCCTTCCCATCTGGGGCCTTCTCCCTCGGGCTCACTTCGGCCCCACCCTCTCTTGGCACTGGGTCCTGTCTTCACCATAGGACCAGGGCTCTCGCGCCCCAGGCTCCCTGGTCGCTCTAGCTCAGGCGGGGCCCTCCTATGTGTCCCCTCCTGGCAGCGGCGAGCCATCACACACCCGATCTGACACACGCACGACTGGGTCCAACATCCTCACCCACCAGGGGCGCCAAGCCCACCCTCACGGTAGCCACATTCCATATCTGCCGCCTTTTGGTCCAGTGCCAAGGCCTTCCCGAGCTGGCCGTCCTCCACGGCCACTGGGGCCCAGGGCTGGGAGGCCCCACGTTCGGCCCAAGCGCACTGCGCCTGCTCCTGCCCAGGCCAACTCCCCGCCCCCGGACCGGCCTGGCGGGCCCCACGCCGGTGCGGCGGCGCGCAGCGCCCTCCGGTGGCCGAGCCTTTCTGGTGGGGGTGGGGATCTGTGCGCCAGGGCTGCGGCTGCCTGGGAGAGGCCGGCGTGGCAGGCCGGGCTGCAGCGAGGCCGACAACGAGAGCGGGGAGAGGAATTGCAGCCTGGCGCTGGGTGTGGGGAGTCTGGCCACCAATTTTGCCTTAGCACGTAGCTAGGGACAGGGGCTGCAGGACAGGGCAGGCAGCCCCTAGCCCCAGGCCTGCTCGCGACCTCCTTTAAGGATTTTTTTTTTTTTTTCAGTATTTGTTTAAAGACAGAGTTATAGAGGGTGAAACAGGTCTTGCAGTCACTGCTTCACTCCCCAGTGGCCACAGGGACCTGGAGCAGGGCCAGGAGGAGGCCAGAAGCTTCACCCCGCGTGGCAAGGGCCCTGTTATTTGGCACATCTACTGTCCCAGGTGCATCAGCAGGGAGCTGGATGAGAATTGGAGCAGTGGAGATTGGAGCTGACACTCTGCTATGGGACACCTAGGTCATAGGCGGCAGATTAACCCTCTGCACCACAACACCAGCCTCCAAACTCACTTTGTTTGAAAGAACAGGAGACACACAGACGATTCCCCAGGGACAGGAGCTCCCAATTCCATCTTGTAGTGGTGGGGACTCAACTACCTGGACCATCAGCTGCAGCCTTGTGGGGGTTGAACACCTAGAGCCACCCCCTTCAGTTGGCCCCAGGGTCCCTGCCACCTGGGCTGGAAAGTTCTTGCCCTGTCTGTCGTGGGCCTTTGGGGAGCAGACTCTGTAATAAGCAAGCAGGTAGGTTGTGTGGGGAGGGAGTGGACAAGGGGTCCCGCAGAGTAAAACAGCTCTCTGCCTGGGCCTTGTCACAGTAATAATGCCCAGGGGCGACCCGCACGAGTAAACAGAACACCATGTTGCCATGTCCACGGGGCTGGGCACTGCTGGACTGGCAGAACTTGTCACCACAGCAACACAGGGCCCAAACCCTCAGTTCTTCACCATGGCTGCCCCTTGGCCAGGTGCATCACGGGAATGCCAGGGCCCCTTCCTCCTGCCCTGAGGGATGTGCTGGGCCCCCGCAAGCAGCTTGGGGCCTGCCTATCATCTCATGTGTTCCTAGGGCTGACTCTTGGAGGCCTTGGCCCCGCAGCGGCTTCTGAGGAATAAAGAGCCACAGGCATTGCAGAGCTTAACATTATGCATTTATTATAGTTTAGAGAGCCATGTTACACATGCTTGGTGCGTCAAACTGAGTTATCAATGTTTTTTTCTGGTTGCAAAGCCACTGGATGCTTGATGCGGATGCCTTAAATACTATATTTCTGCATCTATGACTATGAGCTAAGGAGAAAACCAAGGACAATTCCAGAAATGGCAGAGAACACTCGGGAAGATGTACATGAGACGACGCAATGCAGTCCTTGAGCTGTGCCTCCAGCAGGGACCATGAGGTGAACCAACCCTGTTCCTGCCGCGCAGAGCCAACATGGGCCATACCACGGCGGCCTGGTGCCCTGGACCCGCTACAGGCCCTCCAACAGGGCACAGCACAGCCACCTGCCTTCCCTGGGCAACCTAGGTTGCTTCCTGTGGTCTCACAGCCTCTGGTGACCAGCTTGCCCCTCTGTGGGCACTCGCTCTGCCTCGGAGGGCTCCTGCTGCTACCCACCTTGTGCAGGTGCCCAGCTCATGCCTTCTACTTAGCTTGCGGGAGGCCAGTTTGCCTGACCCAACTGATGCCCAAGTTCACACTCAGCATGCCCACCTGGCAGCCTTCCCCACACCACGCTGACCACAGAAGCCAGTGCCAGCACCCTCTGCTGTCTGCTCACACACACCTGCCATGATCTGAGCCGACTGGGGCCAGGAGTGCTGCTGGCAAGGCCCATCCCACCATGGCCCTATGGCCCCAGAACAGGCTCCAACTGCAACCGAGGGCTTGGGCTCAGCTTCCTCTCATTTCCCGGGTTAAGCTTGGGAAGCATGGGCTCTATAAAGGGCCTGCAATTGTCCTCCAGAGCCAGCAGACCAGGAAGTTGCTCGACCTCACAGTGTGGCCAAGAGCCCTTGTGGGCTCTGGCTATTGTTGCAACTGCAGCGCCTATGCAAGGAGCCTGGGACGGAAAGATGGACTCACAGGCCACGGGAGGCAGAGGCAGGAAGGCATGGAAGGGGGGACCTCTACCAAGCCAAGGCTGCCATGTGGTGGGGGTGGGGGGCTTCTGCGGGTGGCGACAGGGCCTGGCTCAGGCAGCCGCTCCCCGTCGGGCGTTTCTGGAGAGTGGGCTCTGCTTGGATCCACAGGCAGGCTGCACAGCCTGCGCCCTCCAGTGGTCTTTCTCTCAAACATAGTGAAGCAGCTGACTATTAAAGAACTTGTACATGAAAACCTGACTCGAAAAACACTGTGATGTTTACTGGCTTCTCGGGCCTGAGTCTAGGCCAAGCATACAGACGCCACACCAATCTGGGCGTGAGTTCGGCGTTATGTGGAAAATGCACATCACCTGCAGTGACAGTTCTTTCTACAAAGATCCCTGCCAACCCACTACCCAAGAGAGGGAGAATAAATTTAAAAGTAGAAAACAATAGCTTAAGTGTAAACTCTGGGGTTTTTATATTGCATATGCTAAAATCATGCATTCATTTCTGCTCCAATGTAAGAAAATATGCCCATTAGTATACTTCTACATCAGTCACCCAGCTAATGGACCATTAGGACGCCGCTGCACACGTGTGAGAGTTCTGACCACAAGCAAAATGGGCTTGAGAAACTCAGTGTGAACCGCCCTGTCTCATGCACACAGGCGCTCACTGGCTATTGCTAGAAATCCAGAGTGCTACATCAATAGGGAACGCCAAGTTCAACTCCTGACAGCGGGCAGCTCTGCAGATTGAGGGATCCTTGGGATAACAGAGAAAGGTGAGGGGCGAGACGGGGCGGGACCAGCAGAGATGACCAAAGGCACAGAGCAAGAGGGACCTGGTTCCACATAGGAGCTCAGCTCCTGCACATCATGGGCCCGTGGCCCTGAGCCTGCGGGCAGCGCTAGGGCTAGCTCCCGTGTGGTCCAAGGCCAGATGAGGGTCAGGTGGCTTGGCTGCCAAGGCCTCCACTGATCGGAGTGGTGTTTAGCAGAGCCATGCAGAGATGGCCCGGCCTGCTAGTGGGGAGGAAAGGGGGGCAACTTGGTATGCAAGGAAACTGCCTCGGGCTCCTATCTTGATTGCCAGATATAGCAAGGCCCGGCTCACCCTGAAAACAGCTGGGATTCCATCACACTACTCAGAGGATAACAGATGCTGGGTGAAGAAACTTGGGAGTAAAAATTGTCACTTATGAGTCAGAAGGCACTTCAGGATTCCAGAGCCACAGGGCCGACATGAGCGGGACTAAGGAGAGGCTGGCCATTTGGGGCAGTAGGTCTGACGGTGCCAGGCCTGCCCTTGACCTCGCAGAGCCACACACAGGATGTCTGCTGCATCAAGGCAGCTTACCATATCTTCTCAGCGAGTCTGACACTGGAAACTAGAAGCACATATCCCGAGGTAAAGCACCCCAAGTCCGGCTCTCTAGTTACCTAACCACACTCTGGCAGCCCAGCCTCGGTGCGCTCCACGGCCTCGCAGGCCAGCACCATCCACGAAGAACGTGGGTTCTCGAGCCAGACTCCGACGTCTGCGAACTGCAGTGGCCTCCCCCGGCGCCTCCGCGCCAGTGAGCACCTTACCTTGAGAAGGTGCTCGGACCTTCCCGCGTATCCCTGCCACCCCGGCCCGGGCTGCAGGACGCTGAGGTAGTTCCTGAACTCGGGATGCCTGGTACCTACTCCTTCAGAATTCAGGACACGCAAGAAGCAGTCACATAAGCAGCACTTTCATCACAAGCCACGGGTCTGAGTGCAAAACAAAGGAAACTTGAGTTGCTTTATTGAACTTCCAATTTCTGGGAGGCTCGAGGTTTGAAGTATCCTGGACAACAAAAGAGAACCAGACTGTGCTTCCAGACCTTTTCTGCCATGTTCTTTCTTCAGGATTGCTATTTTATTGTCGCCCTTTCTGTTACACGGGTGTACACATCAGGTGTTAAAAGGTACAATACATTCTACAACTGAGCAGTACGTTCTGTAGCTGAACAGGCCGAGAGATTACACTGAACATCAGCATCTGGCAGTATTTTTGGAAAAAAAAAAAAGTGACTAAAATGGGTTTAAATTGATTAACACTATTAAATCACATCTAATATTTGATACTACATGATTCAATACAGCTATACGATACAATTATACAAAATGTGTTAACATCAAAGAATACAACCAAAATTAAGATAGCAAACAAAACCTATATAACTTTTTTTTTTTTTACAGGAAAATACTTTTGAAGTATGCATGTAACTGCCCATTCTTTTAAAGAAATTCTACTGCAAGCAAAGTTATCAACCTCCAGGAAATCACACGTAGCATTACTAAGCATATCCCCAAAAAGTGTACAATATGCACACTTGGAAAATACAAAATTAAAAAAATTGTAAGCAACAGGTGAGCTCCATATTTATAAGAATGTGAAAAGAAGTCCCATTTTTAGCACTGTTGTATAAAGAATTGTCTTTTGATGCGAAGTCCATGAGCTGTCCTCCTGCTGGGACCACACTTTACAAAAACACCGTGTTTTTGAAACGAGATTACACAGCAAGATAGAGCATCTTAGCAATGTCATCTTTTTAAAGTTTTTTTTTTTTTGCATTTTTTAACTACTTTATCAAAACATGTCCCTTAGGTGTGTAGGATTCATTTTTAAAATTCTTCCTAGAAACAATATACAAAGGAGGCGTGCTTTTCCCCCAAGCACACGCGTGGAAGATGCTTCCCGAGGCCGAGGGCGTCTTCTCATTTCTCACTGGTTGTTTTTGGCCTTGGCATGTGTGAGGATGTGAGATTTCAGGTTAGTTGACTGAGCAAACTTCTTATTACAACCGTCGAAGGGGCACACATAGGGCCTGTCTCCGGTGTGGATTCGCACGTGTGTGCGCAAATTGAAGTCCAGTGAAAAGCGTTTCCCGCAGCCTTCAAATGTACACTGTGAGGAGAGACCAGAGGTCAAGGGCGGGCAGTGGAGCAGGCCTCCGGGAGCTCCCAGCTTCGTAGAGAACAGCTTATTTCACTCAACACCTCTCCTTTCTGCCCTGGCTGAACTTTCTAGATGATTCTAGATTTGGTGGATGAGATCCCTTCACTCTAACACCAGACAGCACCTATGGCCCATGTACACCCCCAACAATCTAAGAGAACCACTTGGCCAAATGCTAGCAATCTGCCTAATGATTGGATGGAGGCCCCAGTGCGTCTATAAACTGAAAAACAAAACAATGAGGAAGAAGTTCCGGGTGTCCACTAAAAACGACCCACACTGGACTGGCAGCAGCACTGCTAGTGTCTGCACACGTGCCAACAGTCACCTCTCCCAGGCTCCCTGTCCCCAGTTACCCCAGATGCCAGGGCCTCCCCACAGCGTGTTCTGCCACAGGCTGAGGCAAGCCCTGACCACCCATACGGCCCGGCCACTGTGGTTCCTCCCGCGGGCTCCCGGGTGATGCGCCCACACCCTGCAGGGCCGGGCCAGGCAGGCGGTGTCGGACGGAGGAGGAGCGTGCTCTACCTGAAAGGGCTTCTCTCCAGTATGAACCAGCTGGTGTCGTTTTAGCTTGGAGCTCTCCACGAAAGCCTTGCCGCATTCTGCACAGACGTGGACTCGGGGGCCGTGGGTGTGCAGATGCTTTCTCATGGCAGAGTTATCCCTGAACATCTTTGTGCAGCCCTTAAAACAGAGCAAGCAACGCAGAGGTTACCGCACACACAGGGAGGAAGCACCCAGCCACGAGCAGCCTGGACTGGAAGGCAACACCACCAAGCCCCTCCCGCCTATTATTCCTGGTACTTCAAGACAGACAGCTGGGAAAGGCTGTAGCATTTAATGCAAACCCTCATGTTGCAGATGAGAAAACCGAGGCTTAGAGATGTCTCCAAGCCACCAGAGGGGCCGGGCTGGGAGGAGAACCCAGTCTCCTGGCGCCTAGCTTGGCCCCAGAGGAATGCAAGGCCGGCAGCCCACCACCCCGGGGCCCAGGCTGTGCCGTACCCAGGGGCTGACCCTTGCCATCGCCCATGGTGCTCCTCTCTCTGCCTCCTTCCTCTCCGTGACAGACAAAGAAGCAAGAGGGTCTCCAAGGAATGGTCAGCAAGAAGAGATGGACGCTGAGACCAGGGAAGGCAGAGGCAGGCACACTGACCCCGCGCAGGCCAGGGTGCTCGCGGGCAGACATGGCTAGACAGCACGACAGAAGGAAAGCACAGGCCACCCCCAAGCGTCACAGGCAAAGCCACAATGTTGTCACCCCGACCTGCAGGCAGGGTGCCCATTTTGAAAATGGAATTTCAAAAAACTGTCACCAGAAAAGGACACAGGGATGCCAGGGAACTGGCAGGCAGTAAGGCCCAACTGTTTTCAAATGCTTATCTTTCTCTAATGGTTGATGTGAAAAAAGCAAAAACAAAACCAAAAAAACCCCCGACTCCATTCGGAATTCCGCTGCTTCAGTCTCCCCGCCCCTCCGTGACGGAACCCCCCATCCCGCCAGCTCCATCACTGGGTCAGGTTCTCTTGTCATTTCAAAGACTACATTTGAAAACAATTAAGTCCCCTTCTAGCAGTACACAATTGACAGGGCAAATAAGAAAATTGTAAAGGAAATTATGAAGTCTGATTTATTCTAACAACATTCAAAATCATTTCCAAATCTCAGTCACGAGCCTAGGTTGCCATCCTGGCCCTGTCACTGAGCCCAGGCAGTCCCAACCAGCACGGTGAGCAGGCAGCGACAGCACGCGCATCGCTCCCTTCTAAGCGCCACTCGGTCTATTTAAGCAACAAAGCCGCAGAGCCAAGCATTTCGGTCCGCCCCTCTATCTGAGCTAGGACAGTGCAGTTGCAGAGTGCTGGGGCTGAGAGCTTCTCCACAGCTCAGCACCAGCGGGACGGACACCTCCCCCTAGCATTACTTACTTTATGAGGGCAAGCTATTGTTCTTGGAGCATCATCTTCTTTAATTTTTCTTGGCTTCATTCTTATCAAAACAAAAAACAAAAAAAACAAAAAAAAAAGAGAGAGAGAGGTTTGTAGGAGCGGGCACACTCAGCTGGTATCAGTCACATACAGTCCCTACATGCTTCCCTTCCAGGCACCCCAAACTAAAAGCGTAGGACGAGCTCCCGGGGCGGAGGCAGGGCGGGACCTCCTGTTCGCGGGTGCTCACGGCTAGGAAGAAGCCTTCTCATCTCACACACAAGGAAGCCGAGGCCAGCAGAGCCGGGCCACTCCCAGGCCTGGAGCCAACCAGGCCTTGTGGCCAAACACCTACTCTTCCCTCGAAACCCCTATAAAATACCTAAACCAACAGCTGAGACAACCTCAAATCAACCTCCTGGTGCGACAGGGGCAGCCGCTGCTGTGCCATCCCAGCGCCTGGCAAAAATGGCGTGTCCAACATGTCCTTGGTCCTACAGCTACTGCCTGGGGGAGCTGCCGACACAGCACACCACTTCTAAGGAGTATAAGCAAAGAAGTGGCAACACAAGCACAGGACCCCCCGAAGGATGAAGGACACACCTGGAGGCTTAGGGGAGGAGCCCCCAGAGACAGGTGGGACCCCACACCCTCTTGTCTGCTGTGTGGCTTCTCTGAGTAGAGAGGAGCTGGCCAACATTTCTTCTGCACAACAGAGGCCTCTGGTCTGCCAAGTTCCCACGTGCAACCAGACACGGCAGGTAGCCGGCCTGCACTGCTCTTTCCACAGAATCACCTGCTGGTCTTTTGTGAAAACTTTCTCTGCAAATGCTGCCTACAGATCTGTGTGTGGCCGAGGGGTGATTAGTAACCATCATGAGGCTCACTTCTGCCACCCTTAAAGTAACAAAGCCCCCAACACGCCCCTTCTGCTTCACGGCTCATCTGTGAAAGCTGTCCTGACCCCCGGTGATGCCACTGGCTTCAGCTCTCCCACAGCCCAGGGGCCACACGGAGCCCCCTCGATTCCACAGGGCCTGCTCAGTCCGCCACGGCAGACTCCTCCCTTCTAAGGACACTGCCCCTCCGCTGGCAGAGCATTCCTCAAGGGGCCGTGTGCATAAGGTTCTGCACTGGGCCTGGCCCGAGTTCGCAGAACCAGGCAGGGTACAAATTAGGTGGCACTGCACCACCTGGAGGGATCATTGAAAAACAACACTCAAATGTTAGTAATTTAAGAATGTGTTTTAAGAACCAAGCTTCCAGTCTTCTCAATTAATGTTTTTTCTCATCTCAGGTGCAGGCAGTGTGGCACGGCAGGTTAGGCAGCAGTTGGGGTGCCTGCACCCCACACTGGAGATTCCTGGATGAGGTGTCAAGCACTCGAGCCCTGCCAGCCACATGGCAACCCCAGACAAGGTGAGGACTCTAACTGCAGCCTGTCCCAGCTCACGGCAAATCTCTCCTCTGTGTTAATCTGCCTTTCAGATTAACACAAATAAAAACTTCAAGTTCTCTGCTGAGTCTACAGAAAGCGATCTTCACTACGGAGATGGTTACACATGACTGGTTTTCCTAAATTCATACAACAGTACACTTAAAAGACCATGAATCCTATGGTGCAAAGTATTTAACAAGCCTTAATTAAGGAGGCCCCTTGCAAACATTCTCCTAGAATGATTCCTAGACCTTAACATTACAATGTTTGCTTGTTTTATCTACTTGAAAATCCGAGTGTGAGAGGAACGGGAGGGAGAGGGGGAGAGAGTTTGGTCCGGTACTTGATCAGGGTCGAGGGGTCCAAGCTCTCGAGCCAGCATGTGCTCCCAGGATGCCGGACCAGGAAACAGGATTCGGACAGACATGCAGATGTAGGCTGCAAGCATCCCAAGCGGCACCAAAACTCCCACCTCAGTACCAGCCATACATATACTGGAAAGACAGAATGGCAGAAAGGGGCATCTACCAACCCCAGGAGCATCAGCAGGAGGCGGGGTCAGAGACAGCGGGCCTCCACCCAGGACCCAAGTGCACAGGGCACCACAGTACCTGCCCCTCAGAACTCACTTTCTGAAAGACAAGTTATTATGGAAAATTTTTAAGTTTATAGGGCATTTGGGCAAGCTCATTTGAACTTGGGGAGGAAGTTAGGAACTAATAGCAGACGCCTGTATGTAAGCCTGTGCCAGCTAGCCAGCCTGCCCCACAGGGTGAGATGCGGCACCTCAGTCAGGACCTGCACATCCCATTTGGCTGGGCACACGGAAAGGATCTTTCTCCAGAAAGCGCACACACACAAAAGCTGGCCGGTCTACTGCCGGAAGACTCCTCACCTGCTTCCTGTTCTCCGAGGGTAGAGCGTGAAGCCACCAGCTGACCTCTATTAGCCATAGCGCTTCGGGCCAGCCCTGCGGTGGAGCGGCGAGCACAGCCAGGTGCTGCACACGGAGAACCACAGGCTGTCTGATGGACCCAACTAAAGTGAGGTCAATTCCAACAAAAACACTCTGGCAGCTGTTTTTAGCCACCAGGTGCTGGTGCCCCAGGCCGCCCTTCACCAGAGGACAGGGCACAGCAAAGCCAGTCCTCACTGCACTACCTAGTCCACAGGAGGCCAGGTACACTTCCCACTCAGGGCGAGTGGGGGCTACTCTCCCCAGATGGACTGCTGGAGTTGCAGCAAGTCACTCAGGCCCACATAGCATTCATCAAGTGGGATCTCCCACAGCAGAGCCTTGCACAAACACCGAGAGCTGCCACTGTCCGGGAAGCAGATAACATCATTTGAATAATGATTCTTCAATGTGAAGCTAAGCCCTTACCCAGCCACACAAGCTTAGTTAACGTCCAGGCCAGGGATACTGCCCTGACCCACACTGGTGGGAGCCTGGCACAATTACCATTTGCAAGCATGATTCACCACCCACCCCATCCCCCCTCCCGTGCAAACAGTGTTGCTTTTAGACAAACAAAACAAAGCTGGCTCAATGAGAACATCTTAAATGAAGCAGCATATAGTTGTTTTAACACTCGTGTACTTTGCTTTCACCTAGTTCAAAGTCACAGCAACAGAGAGAAGGGGAGGGGAGAGAGGGGAAGAAAAAGGGAGAGAAGGAAAAAGAGCGAGAGCCAAAGAGGAAAAAGGGGGTGGGTTTCCATGACGCCCACACAGCCAGGCCAGGGCCAGGCTGAAGCCAGAAGCCTCAAGTCAAAGCAGGCAGCACAAAGGCAACAGGCGGCTCGAGCCTGCTCTGGCGGAGCTGTAAGGCAGTCCGCGATTGGTCCAAGCATTCTGTTAACCCCTCTGTGCAACAGGTCTACTGGGAGACAGCGCTTCCCCGACCTCCCACTTTTAACTGATCCCCAAGGTCCCACCTGCCCAGTGGAAGTCATGACTTCGCATAGCTGCCCACACGTGTCAATAATTTACTAAGCAGTCTAGGCCGAGGACAACAAGAAGCTGCCACATAGTGAGGTCAGGTTCAAGTCCAGTCCAGTCCATCTAGAGGAGAAATGGGCAAAGCAGCAGCCCTCCTTGCACCAACAGTCCAGTCTTGCAAGCCCTGACAACAAGGTTGTGGTACGACCCACAGCAGCCTGGAAATGTGGTACCTCTTGCTTTCCAAGTTCCTGTGACACACACACCCAAATTGTAGGGACCTCAGAGGACACCCACATTCAAAATCTCTCTTCAGTTGGAAAGGTGTCATGTGAGAGGCAGCATGTCCAACCCACAGTCCATGTGTTGCAATAGCTCCTCCTAGGTCAGAACACTCAGCAGGCTAACCAGGAATGAACAGAGACTAAGCATGTTCTTGCCATACTCATGTAGAGGATGCTGGTCGCAGATCTTGTCCGATAGACCGCCTTTTGCACACGCATAGGTGTCTTACTCATTCTGTCCTTTACTGACCAAAGAGCCTTTGTCACAGTCCTCCTACTTTTGCTACACCTAGCAGAGTGCACCTGCGGCCCAGCTGTCCCAGCTTTGCAGGCGTCTTCCTCCAACTGCTGGTGGCACTGGGCTGCAGCGTACCTCCAGGTGTAGCGCATACACTAGGAATGCCAAGGTCTCTAAAACTTATTTCTAAAAAGACACTTTCAGCTAGAGCAAGGGAGGAAAGAAAGGAGGGAGAAAGGAAGACAGAGTTATCTCGAGGTCTTCCAGCTACTAGTTCACTCTCCAGGGGCATCCCAGGCAGCAGGTGAGCCAAGGGAGCACAACGCCCAGCCCAAAGACCCTGTTCATAGACTTGTGTGTTTGATTTAAAAAATCTACCTTTTGTGCCTGGCATGGTAGTCTAATGGCTAGAGTCTTCACCTTGCATGGAGTCAGGACCCATATGGCACCAGTTCATACCCTAGCTGCTCCACGTCCCTTCCAGCTCCCTGCTTGTGGCCTGGGAAAGCAGTGGAGGACGGCCCAAAGCCTTGGGACCCTGCACCCACATGGGAGACCTGGAAGAAGCTCCTGGCTCCTGGCTTCAGATAGGCTCAGCTCTGGCTGTTGTGGCGACCTGAGGAGTGAACCAGTGGATGGAAGATTTTTGTCTCTTCTCTCCGTAAATCTGCCCTTCCAATAAAAATAAAATAAATCTTGAAACAAAATTACTTGTACAAGAAAGGCAGATTTAGGGAGAAGTAGACAATGTCTAAAGTGAGAGGCTGCAGATGCAGGTCTCCCACACGGGTGTCAGGACCCTGCTTGCACCCAAGGTGTGTATCGGCAGAAAGCCGTAACACAGAGCCAGAGCTGGGCCCACCAGAGCAGGACATAGGTGTGCTAACAGGCCGGCTGTACTAGGCTAAAGGCCCACCGCCAACTGCCACTTTGTTGGCTCATGTGTTTGACAGCTTTGCAAGCACAATTCCTCTCACAGCACGGCTTTAGTGCCTTCTAACTACCCGCAGCTGGTTTGCTTGTAACCCGTCCTTGGGGAAGGCCCTGCACTTCCCCATCCTCGGTGTTCCGAAACGTCTCCAAAAGATGGCTACTTGGTGCCTCAGGCCCAGGCTCCCACGGGTGACCCCTTTCTTGGGCAGCCTATTCTAAGGCAGCCCGATGTGGACAGGTAGGTCGGCTCTGCCACTATTGGCCCTCAACCACCTGTCCCAAGGCCTGGAGATAAGCTATCCCCTTGGCTGCCCAATTCTCCAGGAAAAGAAAGCCAGTCCTCAGCCACCAACACCCAACTGCTCCTACCCTCGGTTCCCTCTTCCAAGTCCCCCAAACTCTGCCCCTCCACAGTTAAGCTGCTATACCATCAGGACTGCAATGCTGCTCTCTCTGGGCCTTGTGCAAAGTCCTGTGCTGGCTGTCACAGTGCTGCAGGCCCCCGAGGCGACCCTGCCATTAGAGCGGTCCTTTCACTCTGCCACTGATGCTCTTGGCCTCTGAGGACCAGGACTTCCCCAGGATACGATGCTGGCGTCTTCTCTGTCCAAGATCTCCCTTCTCAGAACTTACTTGCACATTCTCATGTTTTCAGTTGGTGGACGTAAGGAGGACTATTGAGGAAACAAAGCCCTATCGGCAGTGGATAGTCTCGCCTCAAACCAACAGGGCTTGTCCTAAGCCACAAGCTGGAAGCTTCTCCCAACTTGACCTATGACCCAAGGAATAAAGCTGGCACTTAACATATTTTAAAAAACTTATTTAATAGGGAACCTGTGGGGTCACCTAATGGGTAACATCTTTGCCCTGCATGTACCATGATCCATATGGGCACTTGTTCCTGTCCTGGCTACTCTACTTCCCACCCAGCTCAGTCGAAGATGGCCCAAAACCTTGAGACCCTGCACCTGCGTGAGAAGAAGCTCCGGCTTTGGATTGGCTGAGCTCCAGCCGTTGCAGCCACTTGGGGAGTGAACCAGCAGATAGAAGATTTCTCCCTCTCTCCTTCTCTCTGTAAATCTGCCTTTCCAATAAAAATTTAAAAATCTTAAAAAAGTCAGTTACAGAGACACAGGGGTTTTCCTATCTATTATTCACTCCACAGATGGCTTCAACTATGTTAGGGGCTTCATCCAATCTCCTGCCTGAGTGGCAGAGGACCAAACACTTGGGCCATTTTCTGCTACTTTTCCCAGGCCATCAGCAGGGAGCTGGATCAGAAGCGGAGCAGGCAGGACAAAAACTGGTACCCACATGTTCACTGTCTGGCAGTGATGGACCTGGTGCACAGAACCGACAATAACACGCGTAGACTACTGACTGATAATCGAGAGCCGAAGTTTATTAGCACATCATGCTTTTACAGACTGAGGGTGACACAGGATAAGGGAGGTATTGAAGAGCGTACACAGTTCCCATAAGCCTGTCTACGGAAACCATCCATTATTTCCACATCCTTATCTTGAAAAAAAATCTTGAAAAAATATCCAATCAAACGCACTCCTATCCAATCAGTCACTCTCACACCAACGATATCCAATCAGTTCTCCACACAGGCTGCTAGTGCTGCCAAGGAGTGGCTCACTGGTGAGCCCTACACTAGCCCAGGAGTAAAGGGGAATGTTCCCAAACCTTTCCCACCATACCCTGTCATTCATCACACTGCGCCCTTACCCCGTGCCTGATGCCATTTTGGTTCTCACCTTGACTAGCTCGGGTTCTAGCCCAGACCATGATACCCTCCCGGCTCCACCTGTGCAGGACTGCAGGCCAAGCCTCTCAGCTCCCACAGCCCCTTTCTCTGCCGCTCTCTGTATCCCTGTACCTAACTGCCCTGCCACGAAAGATTAGAAATAGACAAGTGTGCCTGAGGGCCCCAGTTCACGGGAGGGCAGACCTGTGCAACAGGGGGTCAGCCCCTGTACGTGCAATGCATTGCTGCAAACACAACGCGGAGGCAGCACCTGAAGGCTCGAGCACTGGCTCCCTGGCTTCAGGCTGACCCAGCGGACGAAAAGATCTCTTCTCCCTCCTGCCATTCACTTTTCAAGCGGATTCAAAGTAGATAAACATTAGAAAATTTCACGAAAAAATAAAAGTATTATGAAAGAATTCATGCATGGATTTAAGAAAATTTCATTCTAGACTTTCTGAAACACCCTTGTATACCCAGTAGCTAGTATCATGGAAGATAAAATGTTAAAAAATCCAGTTCTATCAAAACACAAGATTCTCACCCACCTGCTAAGTAGGGAAACTGAGGCTGCGTGGCAGGAATCACCCATGTCTCTTTGAAACACTTTATTATTTGAAAGGTAGACTATCAGACAGGGAGTCAGTAAGAGGAAGAGAGAGAGAGAAAGAGATGGCTCGTTCACTTCCTGCTTCACTCAAGGCCAGCCTGGGACAGGCTAACTCAGGAGTCAGGCGCCTCCCTGGTCTTGTATTTGAGTGGAGGGGCCCAACTCCCAACTGCTTCTCCAGACGTACTGGCAGAAAGAAGTGATAACAAGAGGAATGCTGGGAACCAAACTGGTACCCCCGTATTGGATGCCAGAGTTCCAAGCAGTAGTTCGACTCACTGTGCCAAGTCGGCTCTACAACTGTTTTGGGAGACCTCAGGGTCCCACCCTGGGCGGAGCCTCCGGGCTGGTTCTCATGCAGCCACACGTGGGCGAGAGACTCACCACACGAGGTGTGATTTTATCTACTCACAAGCAACACTGACTCTGCAATCTAACTGTGCCCCATCTTACTGTCTGCTACCACTCACATGAATAGCATAGTGCTACTAAAATTAAAACTGCTTTTGTTTTCAAAAGCTTCCCTAGAGAAAAAGTATAAATCACCACTGTGACTCAGGCACAAAAACAGCTGGCAAAAATTTAGGCACTTTCTATAACTCAAAGGAGGAAGTTTTTACAACTTACCTAGCAAATTCTGCCAGCTGTTTGGGGTCAGAGAGGTCGATGCCAGGGATCCCGCCGGGAGGCAGCTTCTTCCCTGTCATGTACTCCGAGTAGTCTGGGGGCGAGTTCTCCCCGATGATCTGCTCTTCAACCACCGTCTCATGGGCGATGTCTTTTTTTTCATCTGAAACACACACACGAGATTATGTTAGCTGAGTACATCTGCTCTATAAACTATACAAACTCATATTCCTCTCTGCCTGCCCACGCTCCCGGTAACCCCTTCGGCCCTGCAGCCCGCTTCAGCATCCTGCATCCCCCTACTTCGTTTTGTTTTTCAGCCACAGCACAGCTCTTCTGTTAAGAGTGCTCACTCGGTGACGCCAATGCCAGTCGGCCCTTCCAGCTTTGGCCTGCTGGATGCCCATCAGCCTCATTATTCCTGGCTCCTTCAATGGGCGACAGCCCAGCCTGCTAGCCCTCAGCCGGGACCCCACGATGTGCAAGCGTGGCTGTGCGCTGTCTCACATCAGCCCCTCTTCCACATCCCAGTCGGGCGGGGCGGGGCGGGGCGGGGCAGGCAGCCCTCAGTAAGCATATACACAGACTGCCAGACACCTGCAGATTTGTATCTTGTCAGACTCTCAAGTGCGACAGATTCTAAAACGCAGTGTTAAATGCAGTGTTGATCCCACTCTCTTAACCTCTGTTTTTTTTTTTAAAAGACTTATTTATTTTTATTACAAAGTCAGATATACAGAGAGAAGAGACAGAGAGAAAGATCTTCCGTCCGATGATTCACTCCCCAAGTGGCCACAACGGATAGAGCTGAGCCATTCCGAAGCCAGGAGCCAGGAACTTCTTTCAGGTCTCCCACACGGGTGCAGGGTTCCAAGGCTTTGGGCTGTCCTCAACTGCTTTCCCAGGCCACAGGCAGGGAGCTGGATGGGAAGCAGGGCTGCTGGGACTAGAACCAGCACCCATATGAGATCCCGAGTGTGCAAGGCAAGGACTTTAGCCACTAGGCTACCGCACTGGGCCCCCACACTTATTAGCCTCCTCTACAGGAGGCACTAATACTGATTACCTTTAAAAGGGATTGTCGACCTAACTTGGCTCTAGTGATTTCTGATTACAGTAGCATCTTAATTGGTTTTCCTTTTATTCCCCATATAATAAGTATATTTTATCTTTGATGATGCTTACAAAGTTTAAGATACATGTCCATGTGAATCATGAATTAGGGTGGGGAGGGTCGAGAAATGTGGCAAAGTGGATGAGAGAAGGGGAGAGGGCTGTTCACAGGAGCCCAACCACATCAGTATGTAAGGATGGGGGACAGCCACCTGATGTCATCCCGGGGTCCCCGATGTCGAGTGTTCCAAGCGAACAGATTAAGTGCTTCTGATAGTTTTGAGATACTTTTGCTTTTGTTGTTCCAATGTTGACTGTTTTCACAATTCTTTACTCTAGCTTTATTGTAAATAGTAACAGAAAAATAACAAATATTTTCACTCATAGCACTATATAAATCACTCCAATTTGACCTTCTGGGTCCTGAGCTGCCTAGTTCCACTTAATTCATCCAGTCCTACCTTGTATTTCCCCTCTGTCCTTCTCTTTCATTCACCAGTGGCTGCACCTGGCCTAGGTTGAAGCCAGAGCCAAGGACTCCATCCTGCTCTCCCACATGTGTGCAGGGCCCAAGGACCTGAGTCACCAGCTGCTGCTTTCCCAGGTGTATTAGCAGGGAGCCGGATCAGAAGTGGAAGAGCCAGGCCTCCAACTGGCACTCCTGAGCAGTGGCTTGGCCTATGGTGACACAATGCCACCCAGCTCCTTGGTCCCTCCAACCAGGCTGTTCCTCCCGGGTCAATGCCTGGTGGCTACCACCAAGCGAGCAGGACCTCCTCCCTCCGCTGTCTGTTCTCCTCTCTCCTGACCTGCCTTCCGATTCTCTAAGGGCTTGTTGATCCCAACATCCAACCTGGGATGCCCAGGTTTGAGTTTGTTTGAGTTTCTAGATTGATGTCAGTCCCCAAAACTGCATTTACCTACTTCAATTGGTTCTCTGACATCAGTGTAAAGCTAGAATTCAAGACAGAATGCATAGAATGTAGATTCATTTGAGGCAAGTTCAGTTACTGAGCAAGGAAGAGCACAGAATACAGCAACATTAAATTTCTTGTTTCACCTTTCTTGATCAGAGAAAACACCAAGTCACTACAAGATCATAAAATAGGGCCAGCACTGTGGCATAGCAAGTAAAGATGCTGTCTGTGGAACCAGATTCCATAGAGGTGCTGGTTCAAGTCCTGGATGCTCTAATTTCCATCCAGCTCCCTGCTTTCCTGGGCACAATGGGAAACCGGTGACGGATGACCCACGTCCTTGGCCCCGCACGCACACAGGACTCTGAAGAAGCTCCTGGCTTTGGACTGGCCTACTTCTGGTCACTGCAGTCATCAGGGTGAGCCGAGAGGTGCAAGATTTCTGTCTTTCCCTAACTTTGCCTTTCAAATAAATCTTAAAAACTGTTACCTTCATCTGACACAGAAAGCAAGCAGAGGCCGAGTGAGCTTATGCAAGCCACTCAGGGTTACCCAGCTGCTGAGTAGCAAAGCCACAGGATTCCCAGGCTCCAACCCCAGCTACCTACCACTGCACACCCTGAAAGGCAGCGGGAAGGGCTCTGTTCTCTGGGTTCCCACCATTCACCCAGGAAACCTCCAGCAGAGCGGACACCCAGGGTAGCGCATGAGGGGAAGCTGCTGCTTGAGGCTTGCAGCAGTGCTGCTTAGAGTCCCAGCCTTCAGCTATCCCCTATCCCAGGACACAGCAGGCGATGAGCCGTCAAGCTCTTGGTTGGGTTCTTGCTACCCCGTATGGCAAGACTGGATGGAAAATTCCAGGCGCCTGCTTCTTCCTTTTGATATTTTGCACATTGTGGTCTGCCACCCGCAACACAGGCAACCCAGATGGGAACTGTGGTCTTAATCCTGGCTGTGCCACTTTGGATCCAGCTTCCTGCTTATTAACGCACCTGGAAAGGACCCTGCGTGATGGCTCACCGGCTAAATCCTCACCCTACAAGTGCTGTGATCCCATATGGTCGCCAGTTCATGCCCTGGCTGCTCTACTTTCCTATCCGGCTCCCTGCGTATGGCCTGGAAAAGCAGTCGAGGACGGCCCAAAGCCTTGGGACTCTGCACCCATGTGGGAGACCCAGAAGAGCCTGGCTCCTGGCTTTGGCACGGCACAGCTCCAGCTGTTGTAGCCACTTAGGGAGTGAAACAGTGGACGGAAGATCTTTCTTCGTCTCTCTTCTCTATAAATCTGATCTGCCTTTCCAACAAAAATAAATAAGCCTTTAAAAAAAAAAAAAAAAGCTACCACCTATTCCATTATCTGAGTTTGCCTGTCCCAGTGCTTGCCTGCAGTGTCCGGCCTACTTCATCAAGCATATTAAGAAGTTCATCCATGAACATCCCATCTTTCATGGCTGAATCACATTTCTCTACGGACACACGTGCGTATTCACTCATTTGCAGTGGATATGGGCTGATCCCACCTCTAGATGTGCTGAAGGGTGCTGCTCTAACTGGACACAGCCCTGCTTCCCTGACAAGGCTACACGGAGCTCATTACCTGCATGCCCATCTAACTCTTAAGTCCGAAACATTACCACCTGACCCTTGACCTACAGTGATGCAACTGGATCTAGACAAGGCAGAATTAAAACTGCAGTGGTAATTTCCCTACTTGCTATAAGGAATTTGACAGAACACCAAAAAAGGACATTTCACTACTAAATAGGACACTACACAACAGTTCTTCCAAACAGGTTACAGGTTTATTTCGGAAAGGATGGGAAGACAACAGGGAGACAACTCCTCTTCCGCTGGAGGTCCCTGTGCCACCTCCAGGGAAACCAGGCCTCCACATGTGTACGCGGAGGAAGAAAATCTAGGTTGCACACACGTACGTGGGAATCTGGAAGAAAGCTGTATTTAAAGTCACAGAAATACAAGAGGAAGCATTAAAAAGGACTTGGCACCAAACCCGGGCCGTGTCTATACTGGAAGAGTAAGGAGAACGCAAAAAGCAGGATGTGTTTATCAGCCACCACCCCCCAGCACCCTGGCGACGTCTTTTGTTGCCCTAAGTTTGAAGTCACTGTTGATTCCTGTAAGCTTCTATGCCACATATTTAATTTCTGATTTGATAATATTTATGTATTTGAAAAAGCACAATTAAGTACAATTAAGTCAGAGAGAGAGAAAGTGAGAAAATCTTCCACTTGCTGGTTCACTCCCCAAATCCCCAAATGACCTCAGACTCAACAGCTGGGACTCACTAAGCTGGAGCCAGGAGCCTGGAATTCCATCCAGGTCTCCCCCGTGGGCGACAGGGGCCTAAGAAGTCAAGTGGTCTTCCACTGCACGTTCACAGAGGGCTGCATGGGAAGTGGAGCAGCCAGGACAGGAACCTGATGCCCACACGCACGGCCTGTCTCCAGCAGTGGCTTTCCATAGGCTGTCTCAACACCAGTCCTCGTTAGGCTCCATGGTAATGTTTTACTCCTGAATAAACTGTGCTTCCCATGTGGAAGCCACCTGGGAGAACTTCTCAAAGACCAGCGTGTAGAAACTGGGAAAAGGACAACATTCCTGAGAAAAAAGGAATCCAAGTTCAAAGCCTGGTAGAGAAATGACAAAGGCTAGGATACGACTGGCAGGAGAGCAGGAGGACGTGGCTCGTTTCTCTTTATTCTCCAGGTACATACTGAAGCAACAGATTAACAATTCTCATTCGGCTGTTTTGATAGTAAAACTTTCAAGCCAAGTAACAGAAATTCACAATGTTCTTCTCAAAGAACTAATGTGCCTTTATTATTGGTCCGCTCCTAAATGTTTTCCTTTGGTTAATGTTGAGTGGCTCTAGATCTGCTGCGTTCTCCTGCACGGACTGACTTGGGACCTCCCTCCCTGATCATGGTCCGTGAATGTCTGTAACAACTGGGGAGCCTCCCATGCTCCGGCACCCGGCACAGTAAGTTCTGCCTCTGCCTGTGGTGCCTACACTCCATAAGGGTGCTGGTTCAAGTTCTGGCTGCTCCACTTCGGACCCAGCTTCCTGCCAATGTGCAGGGTAAGGTAGGGAAAAGAAGGCCCTTTCAGCGCT